GTATGTTATCACAATTGCTTCTACTTAATAATTTAGTTGCTAAAATTTTGTTGACCCCATGAAACTGGTGGGGCTCCATCCAACTCATCATGTCATCATCAGATCATAGTAAAATATTTTCTTTTGTCATCATTCAGATTCAAAATTATTATTATTTAATTACTCAATTGTTGTTGTTCCCAACTTTATTTTTATTGTATTTTATTCTCAATTTGGATATGCTTTAAATTTAATATCAAAGAATCTACCTCAATCTTTTTGAAAGTTTACAATATCAAATAGACCAGTTTAACTCCCATCATCCAACTCAAGTGGATGACCTAAACCAACCATCACTCTCTCTCTCTCTCTCTCTCTCTCTCTCTCTCTCTATACATATATATATAATCTACAGAGGATGGCAGAGGAGTCATGGTTACTTTTAGAACTGCATGGTGTGAGAGATGGTAGCATGCATGCATGTGGAGACTACCAAGGCAGACCAGAAGGGCTGTCTGTCTTCAGCCTGTCAACTTTGACTCCTTTTGAGATGTCCAAAGAAACTGGCTGAAACTTGTTGTTGGGGCTGCAGCATCATGAAAGGAGACGAATGAGTCACAGTCAACTTGAAGCTCTCCCTTCTTTTCTCTATGTAAGGTGGATGTCATACTAATGGATTGTGGACAAGTAGCCTCATCTTCTTCCTCCCTGTATGCTCAAGATGAACTAAACAAAAAGCTTATGAGAAAGGATCACACCTCATTCACTGCTGGAATTGCCCTTCAAGACATTGACTGTAAGGCTAAGCCTCCACTGGGAGCCTTTGTTTTTGACTCTCATGGCTGCCCACATGTATTGGGTCCCACAGGAAGGAATAAAGGTGTGTTTGGTTTGGAATTTTCTAATGTGATGATGACCCTCCCTGCACATGTCTGTGGGGCCCAGTGGCTTATCTTCTCTGTCACTGCAAACAGTACAAGATCTACTTCATGGGTGACTGAAGACCAGAAGCCATCTCCAAGACACAGGTGGTAGGGCATTGTTGATGAAGTGCAAGTGATGACATTTTGATTCAGCCACAATAAAAGATGTTCTAACATCTCAAAAGAACCTTCCACTTTGTTCTTCTCACTTGGAAATTGATTAGCTCATTAACAGAGACTTCAATACAAAGCTGCTTTGCAAGTTACCATTGGAACCATAACTATCTTGATGGTGTCTCTGATAATAGGGCCAGCATGCAGGCCTGAAACATCCTGATGCATGTATTCCACATATAAACAGTTGTAACATTTACTGAAACCATGCACAAAAACTCATTACCTTACATTGTTCTTTCAAGTCTCAAGGAAACATGACATGATGGAACACATTGAACTTTTGGTTGATACATGATGCAGATGCTTGAAGGAGGCAAACTATGTGTGTGCCTCTCTGGGTTCCACAAGGCTACTGCCAAGCATATTTGTTGCAGTGCATGGAAGAGACTTACATGACATGTATACCCACTCTTCACTGTCATAAAAAAATCCAGTCCTCAGGACATGATGCAGGAAACTTCTGCCAGGTCATGTGGCATGCTTTGATGCCATCACCCATGAATTGATCAGTAACAGGCCAGAGAGACTTGCAACACGATCTTGGTTCATTGATGAAGGGATTCTGAATAGGGCGCATGAAATCTTATGACCATCATTCACAGTTCAAGTTAGCCAATTAGTAAAAAAAAGATTGATGGATCTGAATAAAACACAAATTGTTCTCTCTGTGCTGTGACTCATGCTACAATTGAAATGTGCGTTTGCTGATAGTCACCTTCGGGAACCTGGAATCTGTTCAGCTTGATAAAAGCCTCCCATGGCTTCATCGAGTAGTTTCCTGCTTCCAAAGCTGTCAAATGCAGTTTTAGCACAGACAACATAAACTTAGTCATTTGATTTTTGGCATAGGCCTCTTCTAAGAAATGCTCAAACTTGAACTATGGTAGAGGATTAGACTTCTAATAAAAAGTATTTCTATAATTATGCAAGACCTCATATCAATTTTTCCATAACCGGAGTACCATGGATAATTAATGATTGTCTAACCTGTCTGCTAAGTTCAGTTCATCCTTGAAAGCAAAAAAAAGAAATGCTTCATATTGTCAACATGAAGTTGATATCCAACTCCAGGAATCAAGAAATAGGATCTCAATACAGAGTTGTTTGGCCATTCAGAAGAAACATATCCTACTGCCTCCAAATCATTTCCATATTGGTAGTGTATTCTTGGAAATATCTCTTATCAGAAAAGTGTTAAACAATCTTACACAACTACGACATGCTTGGTAGTTCATATATGTTCCATCTACAATTTGAAGCATAGTTAGTGCAATTAACATAAATGAGAAAAAAGGATGCAACATAAATTATTAATTGACAATATAACAGCCAACCTGACATGCAATAATCAAATTATGTTCCAACAAAAAACATCACCTTATTGTTTGAGATAATGCAATTTAGGTTGATAAATCATCCTAAAACGTTTTGTGGATTGCATCCTTTTCAGAGTTGAAGTGTTTTCCCTATCAGATCCCATTGGGCAATCCTGCATGTAGCTTTGTTCTGAAATTCAACTTTGTGGGCTGCACAGTCTAGCAGTTGAGTTCATTAATATCTGACATTGTTCAAAAGAATTGATGCTTTGTGGTATAATAACTTCTGCAAAATTAAGCCTCAAACTGAAGATTTGAAAGTCCCACGTGCAATATATACCATCATATTTATTTACCTGTGGGACTTCTTTTCTGCTTATTTTTCACAGAAAAGACTAAATCAAATAGTAAGGTCAACTAATTATAAAATAAAATCATGACATAAGATAAAATCAACTTGCCCATCAGGGCCAAGAATGCAGCTTCTTGCAAACGACAGCATCGGGGGCAGAGTAAGCTTCGGATATGTCCATCGACGACGAAGGAAGCTTCGGACCTGTCCCTCGGCGACGGAGGGAGTTGCGCACGAAGGCAGCAACGACGGACGAAGCTTCAAACGATAGCGATGATGGCGGAAGATGCTATGGACGACAATGTCGAGGGCAGAGGAAGCTTCGGATGTGTTTGTTGGCGGTGGAGGAAACTTCAGACCTATCACTCGATGGTGGAGAGAACTGCACACGAAAGCAGCGGTGAGTTGAGCGATGAGGATCTAGGGTTTCACTTTCACTAGTTTAGGGGAGGGGGAAGGGGGGGTTACCATGAGATTCAATCGAACCAACTAAGTTACTGTTCAATTAAACCAGAGTTCCCAATTTGGTTTGATTTGCTGGCATTAGATCGGGCACTCGCACGAGGCGCCTGACGCCTGGGCTCAAGCAAGCGCCTAGGCGACGCTTTAGTGAAGCGCGTTGTCCAGACATCGTGCGAGGTGCTCGGGCCTTGCTGCGCCATACCCAGACACCTATTAAAAACACTTATCCAAAGATGCCACTACAATTATTTTAAGTAAATCTTTTAGAAAAAATATAATGGCACACTTAGTTTCAACAGCCAAATCCAAAAAACTTGTAGCAATTGCTTTATTGTTGCCACCCAGAAAGAAACATGGCAAATTCTGACAAAGTAGCCACCAAAAAGATTTTCTTTAGCAGAAATGTTAGAAAAAATATAATGGCACACTTAGCAACATCTATATTTTGTCTTGTAAACGTTTGACATTTAATTTTTTGTTGATATTAAAAGCCACTTATGAATTGACAGATACAAGTTAGGATATCATAATTGCTGATTAAAACAACATGGCAAAATATATTTAGAGAGAAAGGTTGATATCATATTCTGAAAAAGTTTTATGCTGCCTTCAGTTATCCAATGCACTGTCCTTTCTTCAGGTTTAATCTAAGATAATTTTAAAAAGATGATAAAAGAGTGAATATAAATATAGCAATGAAACTCAATTTAGCTAAGAGGCACCTTAGACATATGTACAATATGGAAATTCAACTTTAAAATTTAAAAAGAAACAGCTCTGAGGCTTTACTCTGATATGAAACAATATATGTTAAAACTACTGATTTAAAAACGATAAAACATTAATGGAAAAGAAACTTTGATAGATACAATAACACCCAAGTTCAAGAAAACCATAAACCACTTCTCGTTGCATATTAATTTTCTACTCTATCCAATATTTGCTTCATATTGAAGTGCCCTACTCTATTTCATCATATAACTCGAATCAAATGTTCAAGGTTTTCTATCAAGAGGAGCACTCTAATAAAAAGAGTCTGTTCTGTTTTTATCCCATGGAACATACAAAACAGAAGTCAGATAAGACCAATCTAATCCGACTGATGAAATTTGATGAGTTTATTACATCTTTCCATGGTCTAACTTAAAACCCAAACTGAAGTTGTGCCCATCTACTTAGTCTTGAGGACATAACAAATCTGCATGCACATATGCATGTATGTCTATGAAGTAAAGATGTAAATATGCTATGTGAAACCAGAAATATAGATAATCACTTGTCAATTGCATAGAAAATAAGCTTTTGGGAAGATACCTTCAAACTGACACATTTGCAGAGAGAGTAACAACATCGTCCAAACATCAGCCAGAAAGGAGTATGCATCAACCACATTTGTTAATAAAGATCTACATAGAAAAGAAAGCAGTGTATCTTTTAGTGCAACGAAAGCAGTGTAGCAGGCATCCTACTGCAATATCGGGCAAAGGAAGAAAAACTCTGTTTATTTACCTGGTGGTCTCTATCAAGCTCACCACTATAGTCTTGTTTTAACCTGAGTCAAGATGTCATAAATAGAAACCTAACATATAGTATGTTCAATCTTTAACTCAGTGTCAGCCTCCAAGATGCTCAGCCACATAAAGCCTAATGACTAAGAAAATTGTTTGGGATTTAATCCACAGTTCAATTGCACAAGAATCATTACTAATATAGAAAACCAATTATAAAATTTTATTTGGACAAAAAGAACATCTCAAAAGATAACAGGTGTTCATTAATAATCATCACAGATGAGGACATCTCAGCTTTTTCTAAATATAGATTTGCAACTGAAACAGTCAACTAGGACGTAAAAAGAAATACAATCAGAATAACAACTTGTATTGAAAATCACTGATCCTTCTAGGATGAGCTTAGAAACTCTACAACTCGCCATAATACAACAAATTGAAGTTAAGAATATGGCACTAGAAGAAATCAAATTCCAGATAGTTATCTGAACCTTTTCCGGATGTGGCGTTGGACTTCTGGCTTGTTGATGCCACAGTCCCCATGAACCTCTCAATTGAGACATGTTTCGGGACCTCAGGAGGGCTTGCACATCTAATCAAGGCCCAATTGACACCCTCAAAGAATGGGTGTTGCTTTATCTCTGTAGCGCCACGCTTATAAGCAAGCCGGTGCTGTGGCTCCTTCACTAGCAATCCCCTTATAAGATCTCTAGCAGCAAAACTCACAACTGGAGACTCTGGAAACCTCAAGGGCTGACCAATCACATTGAACAGTGTAGCTCGGTTCCCAGACCCCTTAAAGGGAGTCTTTCCAAATAAAAGCTCATACAGGAAGATACCAAAGGTCCACCAGTCCACAGCACTGCCATGGCCCTCCCCCTTGATGATCTCAGGAGCCAAGTATTCATGAGTACCAACAAATGACATGGACCTGGCATCAGTAGGCTCTGCAATGAGCTCAGGCAATGGGCTAATCTGATTTCCAATCTCAAGCTTCTGCTTCCGCTCCTTCTTGGACTTGGAGGAGAATAGTCGTGGGGAGAAGCACGTAGTTGGGGCCACACAGGAAGGCTGGATGCAGGATGGTTCAACGCAAGCAGGTTGGACACAGTAGGCAGGGTTGTTTCTTCTAAAGGAATCAGAGTCAGGATTGGAAGACTTAATAAGGGTGGGACTGACAGTACAGCGAAGGGAGAGGTCAAAGTCTGAAAGCATGATGTGACCATCTTCTCGAACGAGGACATTCTCTGGCTTCAGGTCACGATAGATGATGCCAAGCATATGTAGGTATTCCAAAGCAAGGAGGACCTCTGCTATGTAGAACCTTCAATTGTGGAAAGCAAATGCAAATAGTCATAAATCATAAGCATAAACACGATAGTGGAAATTTTAAAGATTTAATGTGATGCTTTTTCTGATGCACTTGCATTCTCCAGAAATTCCTGAAAAAATATGTTGATAAGTAATTTCTAGGTACCTATTTGTATATAAAGCAAGGCATCATTATCATAATTCTACTGTTTGGCATGTTAAAGAACATACGAGAAATCCATAAAATCCCATTAAGATTAAAAGAAAGGACATTATTCGATCACCTTAGATCCTAAGAGCTCTTACCATCGCACACTAGATATTAGTATGTTGCTAATATTAAGCAATGACCCCTATACAAACTCAATAACAGTTTGGTCATCAGAGTTCAAGATGGCAATAGATCACTCAAGTGCCTTGATGTAGCTAAGATGTGAGACAAGAATTCTCACAAGATGTATATTGAATAGTTTAATATATATACCCTAAGAAAAGGGTTTATATGGTGATGAGAGGTGCTAAATTGTGTATTCCTTTGTTAACCCTCATCTAATATATGGTTATTTCCAGATAAAACAACTTTATTTACAAGTTTATAATTAATATTAATATCAAATAGTTGGTTGTATACCGAAACATAAATACATAATAGCCTTGTGCCCTTAGCACTTCATAAGACTAAAAAGATTTTTCTCCTGGACAAAACCTAGTCTAGTACAATAGCTTTGTGACTGCAGAGGTGTGATTGTTATTCATATATTACATGCAAAGTATATTTAGTTAGATATACCAGAACCTACATAACTAAACTAATTGACCTCACCATCCAGATCAGAGATGTAACTTGACTGGAAACTAGTTAAATCAAGTAGGCCCAAAATCAGCCCATTTAATTCCTAAACTGAAGAGTGGTATAGTAGTAAGGCATATTTCTGTTTTAACTCAGACAGTTAAAGAAATAATGTTCTTTCTTTAATACTTCTTTCGATGATTCTAATATCTACTTGAAAGTTTATTTTTACTACTCACGACCTCAAAGTACCGATTTGTCCAAGTTCCAGAATACTTTGTAGCAATGCAAAAAAATGATCACAAAATTCATTCTTACTTGAGACCAAGTCCATATACTAAATACCTAATAGACAAGTATTTTATACTGTAAGTGATTTTTTATTCCTGAAAAGTATATGCTTTAATCTTAACACTAACTGTTTTTCTTGGTTAATCACAAATCATCTTCAAAATACAGATACACTTAAATAGATAATTCCAAGAGAAACTGAGATCACATTCTGTTCAGCATCAACTTTATCGCTTATTAGTATTTTTGATGGCATATTTTTATCACCTACCTTAAGGACAAGCCTAAAATAATGGAAACTTTAGATGTGATGCGTGTGAACCATGCATCTTTTCAACAAGCAGGGCAGGGCTGTGTGCATATACAGCCCTTCCTAAATCCTACAACGGCAAAAGCCTCATGCACTGGCCTGCCCAATATGTATATGATCCAAAATATGCAGTTCAAAATAAGATATTTAAAGTTAGATTAATTGCAAATATAAATTTTTGAGAGCACGGGATGGTATAATGATGAGGTTGCTCCTTTGCCACCTAGCAGGCCACTCCTAAACAATCTCTTTAGATAATGGAGGTAAAGTTCCATTCGTTGAACCTGCCCAGGCCCCACACAGGCCAAAGCCTTACGCACTAGGTTTGCCCCCCCTTCACTGAACTTACCAACAGGGGTTTTAGCTAAATAATAAAAGGGAAATAGTAACACTTCGATGATAATTTTCTAAATGTAACACATTGAACATGTGAATAACTTATAGCTTTATGGTTTTACACCTACTATTCATTTGTCAATTATCTGTCAATACACAATGAAAGCCAAACAGCAAAAAGAGAAGCAAAATACCAATAATAAAAAACATGGTTAACCACAACAAGAACATTAAAACACAAAAGAAAATTCTGAATCATCAAATTGAGCAGTTTAATAAACCATACATATAAATGGTGCATAAATAATAAGATCAAGGTTCCTACTTGACTGCTTGTTCTGAAAAATATTTTCCAGGTTGCCTCTGCCGAAGGGTGTGCAGATCTCCTCCAGGACAATATTCCATCACCAAACAAGAGAATTTTTCTGACTCAAAGTGGGTATATAACGTTGGAAGAAATGGGTGATCAAGGCATTGCAATATCTCCCTTTCCATCTGAGCTCTAAGAAGTTTTCTACGACTAGCTAGAGATATTTTGTCCATCACCTTCATAGCAAAATAGCATTTTGTCCCAGCCAACTCTGACAAGTAAACAGTGCCTATATCTCCAGAGCCCAATCTCTTAAGCAGTCTGAAATGGCCTAAACCAAGAACCCCATCTCTAGCACGGATCACCTGAATTGCTTCCCATCTTGAGTCGTTTGCTTTGTGAGGCTTGTTAATGGTGCTGCTTATGTTGCTACCACTGCTTTCATCACTGACATCACTACTTGCACTGGCCCTGCAAGTACTATTCTTTCCACTCTCAACCTGGCTATTAACCTTAGCACTTCCGCTAGTCCTTGTAAAACTGTTGGTGCCCTCACTAAGTTCAGCAGAAACTGAGTTATATTTCATATTTCCCTTCTCTGAGTTTTCCTTTTCTGTACCCCTAATTGCTTCCAAGCTTATAGTCCTATTCAACTGAAGTAGCTCTATGGATCCATCTTGTATATTTAACTGTTTCAGATTGTCAGAGAATGCATCAAAGTCACTGGTCCCTGAATGTTTGGTTGTCTTTGCAGATATCCCATCAAACAAAGGTTCGACAGGTCCCTTATGAACGTGATCTGATTTTTGACATTCTAAGACCTCAGTAGTTCTTTGCATTGGTGTGTCCTCCTGAACCAACTTTGGCAATCTGCTTGGTGTGTTAGGTCCTGGTCTACTTGGCTTAGGCATCTGTAAAGGTGAAGGTTGTCGAGAAGATGGCTCAACATCCTGGCCACCAGGCATTTTATGTTGCTCTTCAAATAAGGGTTTGGGAATTGTACTAGTTGTCACTAATCCAGAGACAGGACAGTGTCTAGTTGTAGACCAACATAACATGAAGTTTGCTCCATATATCTGGAATAAATCTCCACCATCCACCTTGTAGCTTGAGCGAAAGATATCTAGTGTGCCATTGGAGAACTGTGTGCCTTCAACAAAAAATAGATCATCCGAAATTGTTGGTAAGCACAATGATAGAACCATGTAGCAAAGAAAACAGAGTTGCAATTTTATGGTAAAAGGAAAATATACACTAGTCCCAATTCATAGTAATCAAAAATAAAATATTTACTACAAGAAGGGAAAACAACCAAGAAAATGGTGAGCATGAACATCATTGTATCTAAAATTACCAAAAATGGATCTACCGAGACCTATTAAGCTGACAATCTGGTCATTTTTAAACCAAACACACAACTACGGATAAAAACTCAAAAGATGAGAGGTCATGTCCTAACGAAGTAGAAAAGAAAATGAATCCAGAATGGGAAACCTAAACAGGTTGTTTTTAAAAGTAACTCCTTCAAGACCAAATCCAATTCAAGACGACAACTTGATCGACAGCTCTGACATCACAGCATCGTACATAAAAAAATTAACGGAAACGATCCATATAAAGATTGAATCTTTTCCGTGAATAAAGGAAGTTGGCCGAGCCCCGGCTAGAAAAAGCCTGATTTTTACCAGAGAGAAACAAGATAAAGCCGAAAGAGAGGTCAAAAGGAAATCGTCGACTGCTGGTTCCCAAAATAGTAAGGAAGGAAATAAAACTAGCTAGAAGTCTATAAATCAACAGTAATCACCGAAACAGCGTCAAAATCCAGTCTTTCTGCCAGCAAATGTAGCACAATCCAGCACGCAACGAAAAAGGTATCGGAAGCGATCACTCAAGCGCCGATAAAATGCCAATCCCTTCGGCATCTCCCATCCCCAACCTTGGAAACCCTAACAGATATCAATCGCCCTCGAATTCTGAAAGATAGAAAATTGCAATATATGCGAAAGAAATCACAGAAAATCAGCATAAAAATGATCCAAGAAATGTACCTGGTAGCGGAAGATCGCAGCTTTGGGTGGTTCCTTCGCTGCAGAGGGAGTTCCCCTTGCACTCCTCTCTTTGGAGTATCTCCCAAGTGAGAGAGAGAGAGAGCGAGAGAGAGAGAGAGAGGACAGCGAGAGAGTGCGTGCGAGGGACCCAATAAAATCAAGGAAAACAAAAAAGGTAAAGGAATACTGGGGCCCGCTTGCCATTAATTATGCTTATCATGTTTCCTATATTAAAAAGAAAAAGTATTTTTGATCACCTATTTATGATTTTATCGAATAAACTAATTAATTTCATTTAATATTTAGTGATAAAGGAAAAAAGATCTTCGGTAGATAAATGACTCAAAAGAGTGCCTCACTTCATTGCAAATGGATTTAAGTTTTTGAAAAAAAATATCTTCATAAATTTATAATTATAAAATATCCTTCAAATATATTAGTGCAATATATGCTACCTTAAATATTATGATTCTCCATATATATATATATATATATATATATATATATATATATATATAATTCGGATTAGTTACTTTTCATTATGGTTAGAATTAAATAAATATATGAAATATGAGATATCTAACACACGTAAAATATAATCCACATATATTGTTGGGATTATTAATTTTATGACGAACATGCAAAACAATTTGAAAGCCTTTTTGTTAATATAATTGATTTTGTTTTTTTGAATCCTTCATTTTTATGTGAATAAATATCACATCCGAATGGTTAAACAATAATATCTGAATAAGATATGCAAAATATATTTGTTCCAAATATTCGAATATCGCATGAATTTTGCTAAGATAATTCATTTTGCTTTAAAAATCCCTCATGATTGATTGTGAGTTGATGGGATCCAAAACATAACTCGCATATCGTGTAAATATTTGGACAGAATGCATTCATTTATTGTGTGCTTTAAGAAGCACGTACAATAATTGATGATGCTTCATGATTCCGTCATCAAGAGAACTACATGTGTTGTGTCCCTCGTCACTATCATTGCTGGTTATACTAATGATGCCGAATCATACGATGTTTGTGATGGACATCAGTGAGAATTATATCGAGCACCTTGCAGACATGATCTGTCGAGAGGCCTCGGTGCGCGTATGCGTCGATGGCGAGGCGGATTCGATGACCTTACGATGGAGGGAATTCTATCGAGCACTTTGCAGACATGTTCGGTTCTGACATTTACCATCTACGACACTGCTTAAGAAACCTCGGTGCATGTATGCCTCGATGGTGAGGGGGATTCGATGCGGTCACGAGACGGCATTTTCTGATTGGCATTTTGACAAACGGCGGGTGGGTGTGCTCGGTGGGTAAGGAATGATATTGAAGCGAATGGTTAGGAACAAAAGTGAAAACGATGATGTTAGAGAGATGAAGTTTTCGACGATAGAGGCGATTGACGTGTTGATCCTCAGAATGTCTCTTAGAAGATAAATTATAACTAAAACAAAGTTAGGAATTACCCAACCCCGACGCTCATCCAATCTCGGAAGCCGTAATGTGGATGTTGACATGCCATCTTCAACCTTTAGAAATGGGAAGAATTAAATTATATAAAGGGAACAGTAGCGCATGTTTTTGATCCTATTTAATTTCATTTAATTAATCCGTAGTAGTAGCCGTAAATAAATTACTGCCGGCACGTACAACCCACCACGCAGCCGCCGCCGCCGCCGCTGCTGCTCGATCAAGTAGAAATCAAGAGAGTACAAGATAGAGAGGAGAGGAGAGGAGAGGGAGCGGGAGAGGGGGAGGGGGAGGGGAGAAAGAGATGTGCCAGAACCCTAAACCTAGTCCCGCTCCGAATCCGGATCCGAGCCCCAGCCCCAGCCCCGGTCCTAGCCCTAGCCCGAGCCGTAATCCTAACCCCGGCGGTGAGGAGCGGTGGCGGGGGGACCTCAAGAAGCAGGCCCTGGTGCAGGACCTAGCCCGGAGGCTCTCCGGCGGCGACATGTCGACGCGGGTCCAGGCCGCGCGGGAGGTGCGCAAGCTCGCCCGGGCCTCGGCCAAGTCTCGCTCCGCCTTCGCCGTCGCCCCCGTCGTCCAGCCCCTTATCGCCATGCTCCCCTCCCCGGACCACGACGCCCGGGAGGCCGCCCTCCTAGCGATCCTCAACATCGCCGTCCGCAACGAGGGGTGAGTTCGCTGATCTGCTCTGCCTGCTGCCTCTCTTCGTTGGCATCTGCTCGATACTTTATTGCCTGAAATGAGCTCCTTCCTGATTTGGATGTATAATTGTCTGTAATTTAACTGTGAATTTCCTGATACCATTTTTTTCTTTCATTCTTTGCTGAATTCAATTTGCAATAATTCAAACTAGTGGTATCTGTTGTTTGTAGTGTTTAAAAACTGTTCCCTTTTCTGTAAGGGGACTCAGAATATAATACAGTATCAAGTTGAATTGGAAGGACAGATAGAAATGCTAAATCTTGAGTTTGTATTATGTTCAAATGGAAATTGAACTTAGTCCATTGAGTCTGTGAATGATTCTTCAGATTTTGATATATTGAGAGCATGCGTTTCTGCTAAAATCATATTTCTGTTTGAGTTGGTTCGCATCCCATATTCAGATACATCGATGGTAATTGTTTCCATTAAGTTATAACTTCTATTTTTGGGAGAAATTTTGTAAAGTTTGTTGCTTATAATATGATATTGCAAATATCGAGAATCTTGTTCTCTTGGAAGAATGACTTAATGAGTGAAAAATGATTTTAGGAGCTGTGTGTGTTGGTATTAAATGTGAACAACAACTGATGCTTGTTGCCTAATTCTTCCCCATCAAGATGGTGCTGATCATGACTACAATTTAGATCGAGAGGTCTCTGCTAAGGCTGTGACAAAATTTTTATCATTATATGTGGCTTCCTACCAGACTTCAGTCCTGGCCAGATCCTAACTCAGGTTTAGGCAAGATATGGCCGAGTCTTATCTTGTTGCAATTAGGCTCATGCATTTAAGAAACAATACCTCCAAGTTCACGTAAATAAGGATAGAATTTAGAGGAGAATATACAAGCTTTGCTACAGAGCACAATATCTATCTCAGAAGTACATATGAGTAGATGGCCAGTTGAAGATAAAAGTGCTTGGATGAAACCATGAAGCTTAGAAATTTTGTCGAAACATTTAACCTTTTCTAACTAGATGATAATGTTTTTGATATATGGATTTGGGATAGAGATTGTAGGTTTTATTATGGGGCCATGATGCTGATCTTGAGCTTCAGAATTACATGATTGGAGAGATTAAAAGAGATGAATTTCATTGTTTTAGTGTTCGTTTGGACAAAAATGTTTTGTGCCTAATGTGTATTTTGAAGTAAATATAAAGGTAACTGAATCTGTGGTGAAAGAGATATGTAGGTGTTCTTACTCATATGAGCATCTGTCTTGCGTTGATGGTTGGTGGTTTTATGATAAAGATCCTTGGGCTGTTATTCTGCACAGAATAACTGCAGATCTAACATTCATATCTGATGCTAAGGATGGAATGGCTGGAAATTGAAAGAGAGATGAAGAAGAAGCAAGTAGAACTTACAAGAGCATGTGAGGTAGTAAGAAAGGTTTATTGTTTCCACTTGTATCTGAGATTCTCCCAAGCGGGTAGCTTCCTCCAATATGAAATTTACTTCTCAAATCACTGCAAATGATATCATAAATGAAAGACAAGAAGGAATTCTTAAAAGCAAGATTCGGTCTTGGCAACTGATCTTTACACTTTAAATTCTTAGACAGGTTGAGTGTGATCTTCATTTGGCCTTGACAAGATGCCTACAACAAGATGTGGTGTGTTTACAGCCATAATCTTAGATGAGCTGATTTCTACCGTATCGTTCAATGTCAACACAATTTTGGCCAATTTCTAGCCTTTAGTACAAATGGCTAGTATCTATTTGAATTGGTTGAACTCAATTGGAGTTAGTTGATTTTAACCAATTTTTAATCAATTTGATAGATTCAAAAGAAAAAGATGGAAGGAACCCAAAGTCTATCATAAGTGGTAGCCATAGGAGAGAAGAAGAAGAGCGAAGTGGAAGAGGAAAGACAAGCTATGACTGTTATCGTGAAACAAAGGAATCAGTGTCATTATTGCATTTTATCATTGTTTGCAATCATCGGATTTGATGTTTGACACCACTGTTGTGATGTTCATCAGTCATTATCATGCCAAACAGAGAGAAAGGGTATAAGGAGATGAAAGTGGGGGATGGAGGGTAGCCTTTTAACCTTATAAGGAAACAAGGGTGTGATAACAAAGAAGATGTCTTGGGATTATTCAAAACCTTGTGGTTGCTTTCTTCACACACACACACATATGTATCATCACATTATTCGACACTTAACCTGCATGATGATTAAAGAAGTGTTGGGACCATAGAGGTGTTATCTTCAAGGTTATAAGTGAACAAATTTTGGATATTTTTTTGTGATATTTGTAATTATTTTCTAAAATAGTGGCTTTAATAATTTGCATTTTTTATTTAATAGAAACCACCTCTATTTCTAAGCGTATGATTATGTATGTTGACTCTACATCGACTTTACGTTGACTCAATGTTGAGTCTTGTGGCGGTGGTTTTGAGCCTAAGATATATGTGCATATGCATTGGGGCTGAGAGATGCCATATGCTTCTCTTGTTGATCATCTTCTTGTTACAAAACAAATGTTTGTCTTATTGTTGAAGAACACTAACTTTATTTTTTTTTCTCTGTTAAAAGTTTGTTAGGTCATATGGATTTTTTTTATTTCTTATTTTCCATTATCCAGTAGAACTATTTGTGACAAGAAGAAATTTACAAAGTAATGTTTTGGATGCTTATCTATTTAAAATGGAATGTTTAATCCTGAATGGTCTTTTTTTTTTCTGCAAAAGACTTACATCATATTTTCTGCTTCTTGATCAAAATATTATTAGCATAGATGCTTATAGTTTTGCTATCAACAACTGAAATTAGCCCTGCTGGTGGAATTAGTGGGAAAAGTGTGGATGCCACTAGTGTTACTTTTTATTACTTTATATTATTATTGATACTTTTCTGACCCGTAGTAATTAGTTATAGTTACTTTGGTCAATATATTTAATTTCTATCGACATCTATAATTACAAATTTTGGACACTTCCGTACTTTTGTCCTTTTTTTAACATAAATGCTCCAAGGTGGTACAATTGTTCGAATACACTCGTTGAAATCGGATGTTATAATTAAGCATCCTGATCTTGTCTACCATGTTGTTTGTTTGTTGGTTCTATCATTCGTTGGGCTATGGATTTCTACTAACATTTTCTTTTCTGCCTCAGAAATAAGGATAAGATAGTGAAGAGTGGTGCTGTGCCCCATTTAGTAGAGCTCCTCAAATCTGGGAAGAATAGCCTAAGAGAGTTAGCCACTGCAGCAGTGCTGACACTTTCAGCTTCAACACCAAATAAACCCACTATTGCTACCTCTGGAGCAGTGCCCCTTCTTGTTGAAATCCTCATTTCAGGAAGTATCCAAGGAAGGGTTGATGCCGTCACAGCCCTCTATAATCTTTCTTCTTGTGAAGATAGTTCCAATTTTATTCTGCCCTCAGAAGCAGCTAAACCTCTTCTCGCCCTTTTAAAGGACTGCAAGAGATACTCCAAGTTTGCTGAAAAAGCGACTGGTCTCTTGGAAATCCTGTCTAGAACTGAAGAAGGAAGGAACTTGATCTCAGAATTCGATGGAGGGATTTTGTCACTGGTAGAGACCATTGAAGAGGGTTCATTGCTGAGTGCAGAATATGCTGTCGGAGTATTGCTCTCTTTGTGCAGTAGTTGCCGGGAGAAGTATAGGGAGCTTATCCTCAAAGAAGGTCCAATTCCAGGACTTATGCTGTTAACGGCAGAAGGCACAAAGAAGGCCCGGGAGAGGGCTCATAATATCTTGGATCTGCTTAGGGATGATTCCAAGAAGAAGAAAGTAGCATCGAAAGACCTGGAGATTTTGGCTTTTGACATTGCTACTCGTGTTGACGGCCCAGTCAAAGCTGCAGCAACAGCAAAGAGGATAATGGAGGATATGGTCCGACGAGATAGGGAACTTACCATCACCAAGCTTCAGCCTAAAAGATGTCGCTAACTTGAAATGCCTTTTTGCATATCGGGTTTACATATTAAAGCTAGAAGTCTAGGATTTGTTGGCATCAAGTGTAAAATTGTTGTGTGTTGAAGTGAATCCACACCATGCGTTTTTTCTTTTTTTTTTCCTTTTTCTTTCTCCCTTCTTATGTACATATGTGTTGCTCCTAAAATGACTTTTAGCTGACTTGCTAAAAGTGCTGTGCTATGATTTCTTTTGCAACAATGGATCTTCTGCATTATAAATCATTTTCGGAAAATTTTGTCGAAATATGTGTTCGAAAATTCAGATTAGAAATTTATGACTTGTTGATTGAGATGTTGTGTTACTAATTATTGACTATTTAATCTACCTTCTCCAACTTGTGACAGTATTGTTACAAGAGGAGACTTTGTGACAGTCTGAATGTTTGTTAGTCTAATCATAATTAGTTTCATAACATAATTTTATGTATACATATGCAACAGTCAGTCTACTAATAAATTTCCAACCTATATATTGTAATTTGAATGGTTATATTATCTAAAACATACTGCCTTAACTTTGAATGGATATATAATTGCACATTATATGAATTTTGTGTACAATAAAGTGATTTTTTTAATTCATACTTGAATTTTAATTGGGCGAACTCTACAAAAAAAATCCCTTTTTTGATTTTTTTTCCAAGAAATGCCCCCATTTCCAAAATTTTCGAATAATGCTCCTTTTTTCTAATACCTGAAATACCCTCAATCGCGTATCTTTTTTTCTCTCTTTTCCTATTTTTTTCTTGATCATACGACGATCATTCTAGTTATAATATTTTTATAGTGCATTATCATGTTTTCAGTAATATTAAAAAAACTATAACGTAGTATATTTATATTATATCATAATATTTTCATATTATGTCATAGTATTTTTTTTAATATTATTAAAAATAAAAACATGATGTTATAGTATTTTTTATATTTAGTATTTTAAAAATTACATTATAGTATTTTATGATATTATTAAAAATATTTAGTAAATCTTTTTCTGAAATAGTTTAGTAAAAAAAGATTATTCACACTGCTAGGTTTTGAGAGTCAACCCAACGCGACCCTTGCAAGGACTAACCCGTCGCGTTACCAGTGGCTTGGGATCACTTTGACAAGAGGGCCCACCTTTGTAACAGATATGATGCGGACTTGGGGTGTTCGGTGAGTGCCCGAATAATTTGCCCTCTTTTGCATCACGACGATATCGCCATTCCTTCTGCTATCTCAGCTCTTCTCCTTCTCTCAGCGCCGTGCGCCGTGCGCCGTGCGCCCTGCTTCTCGTCACGGGAGAAACCCTAAATCGGATATTGCTCTTGATCTCTACGAGGTGACCCTTATTCTCGCGATCTAATTATCGTTGGATTCGGAATTGTAGATTTGATTTATATTTACTAGTTTGATTCGATTGCCGTCGGATGATGTCCTTGTTGCGTTGCTTGATATCTTCTCATTCTGTGTGTATAGGGTTTAACCTATAAATCTTTTATATTTAATTCCTTTTCGCCTTTAATCTAGTGTAGATCGTCGTTGCGCCTGAGTAGGAGTGATTTCACGGGGTTGGAGGGTTTTGATTTACTGAAAGAAAGCTGATTCTTTGTTCGCTTCATGAATTTTTTTCCCGGTTTGTACTCGACTAAATGGTGTCGCTGCTATGTTTATACCATTGGTTTCTAATATTATCGTTCGTTTCATGGAACAGCTGGTTTCTGCTATTCTACTTAGGGCTTTATTGTATGTCCATACGAGCTATGTAGTTTGTGGTTTGTACGTTCCGGAGAGAATTTATGTGGATTGACCTTAAGCTTGCTTTGTTTCGGCATAGAAGATTGCATCTTTGATGGGTTTCATGTAGGCCAAAGAGAGAAAAAGAGAAAAAAAGAGGATTAAAGATATGTATAGAGGAGGTCTTGATAGGTTTAAGAAAGCACAATCTTTGGAGCCATTTTCTGTCACCTTAAATTCATCGTCCAGATCCGCTTCGGCTCCTAAAGCAACCCACAATTTTGCTCAGCCATTCCAGACGTCACAGGATTCCAGCGTTAACTATGTTCAGCATCAACAGCATGTCGCCTCAAAGTCCACTGGACCTGAAGCAGTGGTTCCGGTTGCACATACCACACAGATAGGTGGTGGGCAATCAACTTGGCAGCCTCCTGACTGGGCAATAGAGCCCCGTTCTGGCATTTATTATCTTGAGGTTGTGAAGGATGGAGAAGTCATTGATCAGATTAATTTAGAGAAGCGGAGGCATATTTTTGGGCGGCAAATCCCAACATGTGATTTTGTGCTTGATCACCAATCTGTGTCACGCCAACATGCTGCAGTAGTTCCTCATAAAAATGGAAGGTTAGATCTATGTTCTTATTAGTTGTTACATTTGTTGTCATCTTGTTCTTTGCTCTGTTGGCCAATAGATTGAAAGCACAATGAAGTATATGCTTTGAGATTGTCTAGTTTTATTATTGCAGTTTAAATCTTATGATTTTTTGAATATTTGTTACTTTGTATTTGTTGATTCCATATTATGTAATTCTCTTATTTAAAAATTTAAGAGAGTGAGTTATTGAAAGCTTTTAATATGGAATGATTTGTCTTTGAATTTTGTCCTAGTCTACATTTGTTGTTGTCCTTCTACGCTTGGAACTAATCCAGACTTTTATACTTTGTCCCTGCAGCATATATGTAATTGATTTAGGGTCAGTGCATGGTACATTCGTTGCAAATGAGAGGCTTACCAAGGATAACCCTGTTGAACTTGAGGTTGGTCAATCTCTACGATTTGCTGCATCAACAAGAAGTTACATATTAAGAAAAAACACTGCTGCTCTCTTTCCTACCCCTGCACTTCCAGCAGGAGTTGATCTACCATCCCCTCCAGACCCCGCTGATGAAGATGCTGTTGTGGCATACAATACGATATTGAATCGTTATGGCGTTAGCAAGTTGGATCTTTCTTCCAAGTCAAAAAGTCCTTCAAGGAGTGCTTTAAGTGGAACGGATGAGAGACAGCACCAAGGCAGACCATCCAAGAGAAGTAGGAAAAATAGAGTAGCATTTATAGATCAGGTTGGTGGAGAGCTGGTTGAAGTAGTTGGGGTATCTGATGGTGCAGATGTAGAAACTGAGCCAGGTCCTATTGGTGTAAAAGAAGGGAGTCTTGTTGGGAAGTATGAATCTCTTGTACAAGTTACTGTTATACCAAAAGGTAAGGAACAGATAGCTCAAAATGACGAGGGTGCGTCTCCCAGAGGTGTCACCGATAAGCTGCAGTATATATTGAACAAAGTGAAAAGCACTCCAAAGAGTGGGATTTATGATGATTTGTATGGAGATGCACTTTCTGGTAAGGTGGGTTCTTCTTGGGCATACAGATCAGATGGACAGGTAGGATCAACAAAAGGTGTTGAGGAAAAGCCTCTTAGCTCTGCTGGTGAAAAAGAAAATGCTAGTTCAGCTGATGATAGTGATGATCTCTTTGGTGACTCTTGATGATGTATGATGGCTCAATGGAAATTCTCTTCCATGCTAGCCTGATGCTTAATTTTTAGCATGTTTTCCTCTTGAAAATTCTGTTCATCCTAGTCTTTGAAAAGTTGATGGGCTTGCAAGTATTTCCTGAGATGGGAAGAAATGTTGAGCGTATGACAGTGCTCATCTGTTTTGTGACTTGGACGATGCATGAAAATCCATGATCTTCTGTTGCTCATCTATAATTTTGTCGCAAAGATTGTTCAATGCTCTATCTGAGAAATCTTTATGATTTGATAATTTGTATTGTACTCTATGGTCACACGCGTTCCCAGTATTTTTCATACAAACCGTTCTAGCTATTGTCTATTGGAAAACTTTTTAGTTCTTATTCAAAATCGAGGTACATTGTCTCAGGCTTTTGTATAATTTATACCTTCAATATTGAGCTTTTCCATTGTGTTCTTTGGTGTTGCACTTTTTATTATTTCTTTGGAGCATTGCCTTTTTCATGTTGTTTTGTTGAACATTTACAAGAAACAAACTAATTTATCATATGGTTTTTTGTATTTAGCTCCTTGTTCAGAAGATTGAATCCAGAACTTATATATTATTTTCATAGCTTTAAGCTATTGCCATGCTCTTTATAGGACACTATATAATTTGTAGATCATACTCTTGGAGATTAGGATTGTTACTTTCCTGTTTATCTATCATAAATATTTGTTATTTCGTGCCACCATATTTCTGATAGCATATGAACCAGCTTGAAATATGGTTAAACAAGATACCTCATTGGTTGATAAATTACTCATAGATCCCAAGGTGTATGTTTGTACTGTAAACCACCATGAGATGTAATTCTGATTGTGATAGGTGATTCATTATAGAGTTACTGAACATTTCAAAAGGATGGGATAGAATATATTATATAATACATGTGGTGTGAGTAATAGTACAAACTGAAGATCTTGAATCTAGATGGCTTTTTGAGTTTCCTGCACTTGTCACCATACAATGAACTCCCAGCTGCTCACTTTATGGGTTTTGCTAATGATGTATTGCTTCTAGTTTAAGAAGCATGAAGAAAGATTACATGAGTAGCACTTCATTTGTTGACCAATCTTCAAGTGGCATATGTACTTCCTGTTCAAGTCATATTGCATTGTTCATCGAATCTGTTTCACTCATTTCTTCTATTGGACTTGTACTATTTACTTGAGTTTCCTTTAAGCTCAAATTTAAACCTATTTGCACATGAGAGAAGATATTAAAGCTTATAAATACATTAAATGTTTTCTTACTAACTTTCTGAGATTTGTGTTGATGTAAACAAAATCTTTATCATATATGAGCATAAAAATCTTTGTCTATTCCTGTTGATTGAATTTTACATGTATCTAAAAATTCCAAAATAAGTACAGAAGTTGGATTTGCAATGGAAATGGGTGCAAATTGAGGATGGATTCCAGTTCTTAGATAGTCAATTTGAATTAAAGACAAGACAAGTAAATTTTTTAAATATTCTATCAATTATCATTGAGAAGAAAAGTCAATGATTTGTTGGGATTTCACAATCTTTTAGCTTAGGAAAGGGTGGGGATGATCGAAACAATCCAACACTGAAAGATTCTGGATAATATAAGGACTTTAATATATGTCCATATAAACAATTGTTATTTATATGATTGTAAGAAAATTATCATGAAAAATAAATATAAGCTTCCTTTTTTTTTTTGTTAGTGATATATTAATATACCAACTTAAGAAGTGCTTATGCCAATATGGTAGCCAAATTCCTTTGATATTTGTAAAAGATGGTCCTTTTTTATATATAATTTAATCTTTTACAGCACAAATATTTAATATAATTTTTGGTTAAGAAATATAATGATATAATCAATAATCATATATTATCAACTTATTATTTTTTTAATAGGGTAATTATCAGCCCAGTTTAAATGCTAGCCGCGTTAGTTGTTGATACTCTCACTCCGAAACGGGATCACTATCGCTTCCTATATACGTCTCATTATCTCTTGAATCGGCGCACAATCTTTGGATTTCTGAGTGACTTTAGTCTTTCCCTCTATCTTCCCCACTCGACAAGAAACGCGATCGATCGTTCCGATATCGCTCGCGGAAATCCTCAACGCAACAGGATCGATCCATCTACCTCGTCTTCTCTTCACGTAGGTCGGGTTTTGATCTTTCCAACTTCTGAGATCAAAGGCAATCTTTTACTTCTTAATTTTTTTCGCTATTTTGTTCGATTTCAGTTGATCGGCGGAAGACATCTTTTGTATGTTGTCTCTTACATCGATCAAAGAGAGATCTTGCAGCAATTAACCGTCTAGGGTTTGGTTTGAGGCAGGGAATTCGAGGGCTAAAGCTGCAAAAGTGGGCCTTTTTGCATGTTGAGATTATTGCGAGGAGGTGCACAATGTTTAGCCGGCTGTTTGGGAAGCCCAACGAAAAGGCATATGACTTGTCTACGATGGATAAACTCTATGAGGTACGCTTGGTCTTGTTTGATTGAAAATTGTAATCGTTGTCGAACATTAATTTTGAGAGAGGTTTCATCATGGCATGCCATACGGGGGGGGGTGGGAGGGTTTGATCTCCCAGGTTGCAAAGGAGCAAGTTACCATCGAACGAAGACTTGCTCTCGAGAGCATGCCAGCATTGTGGGATGTAATTTCTAGGCAGATTTTTGTAGATAGACGACGTTGAGATAAACCCTGGATAGTATATTTTGGTCATCAACTTGGTTTGGTCTTTGTAATTTTAGGTATTGGGATATTATGCTTTCACATCACACACGTTGACATGATATTCTTGCTGAGAAGCACAAAACTTGCCCGGGTTATTCATTCTCTGATGCGTGTGCATGATATCTGTCTATCAAATTCTGGATGAAATATATCTGCTTAATGTCTTTGCTTTATGTCCATTTTTAGTGCAACTTGTAAAGAAGTTATTGTAGTCAGCCTGATTCATGACGTCTTTGTGGATAATTCAGACACTTGCTATGTTAGAGAAAAAGGAACAAGCTCTGATGAAAAAGGTGGCTGCTGAGATAGAGAAAGCCAAGGAGTTCACCAAAGCAAATAACAAGAGAGGTGGGTGTTGTAATCAACTATCAGAAATTCCCTCAAGAATTATCTCATGCTAGCAGTCTCTATTCTCTGATGGTATTATTCAGTAGATTCTGTCACAAATGGAATAAAACTAGAAATCTGTGATAAAAATTTTACTAAAAGAACAAAACATTGTTTCATAAGTTCCTCTGCCAGGATACACGTATAGATAGTTCAATTTTACAGACTGATTCTTATCTGTTTTGCATGGCTACTAGTTATAAAGTTCATAACTTGGTTTCAGTACTCAATTTATGGACATTGAACTAGTTACCATTTGATTTTTTTTTTTTTTTTTGCCTTTAGTTTCAATTTCCATGTTGTGGTATCTATTTTCTTATTGTTAGTTAAAAAAAAAAAAGCTTTCTAGGAATACATGCAGACCAAGCTTTGAACTTTTGGAGTCATCATCTTGCCTCATAGCTTTCGTTCTTGTTTTTAATTGATTCAATACTTTCTTTCAGTTGAAATTTATTGATAATACTAATAAGAAATTCTCATTTTCATTTATTGAGATGATGAAGAGATAAAAGATCTACATGACTAGAAGTCGGCGAATATGTTGGGTGAATCTGCATCCATCTATTCACCTCAAACATTGCATTAACCCTTCAGATTCAATTTAGTAATTTCATCCCAGTGTCCCATGTCACTTTAATCAAGGTGATTAAAATGAAGCATTTCCATTCAGTGGAATCTTGATGTAAGCTAATTCATATTTTTTCAAATATTGCATATCAGTGATTTAAAAAGCGTTAAGCACTAAAAGATGCCAAGGTCCAAAAATGCTCGAGGCGCTTGACGCTCGCCCAAGCACTTGCTCAAACGAAATGAGGCACTAAAATATAAAAATATATAATATAATTAATATAATTATTTAAATAAAAAAATATGCTATTAAATTAAGAAAATCGAGTACAAAATCAAAATGTCATATTAATAAAAAGTCTCAAAAATCAAAACAATAAAATTTTACATCAAATCTATTGAGTTGCTTTGTACACTTGTCATTTATTCTGAAACTTAACAATAATTTTAAATAAATAAAAATTAATAGTATTAAAATCAAAATAATATATTATTAATCTAATAAATAAAAATATTATTATTAGTATATAGTTAGCAGTATACTGTTAATATACTGTTAACAGTATACTGAGAAGAGTGTGAGAAGACCGAGGCTGTTGAGGTAACGCCAGGTAGCAGGCGACAGCGGTAACGGGAGCGGGGAGTGGGAGCAGTGAGCGACAGCGGGAGCGGGAGCTACGAGCGGCAGCGGGAGCGGGAGCTACGAGCAGCAGCGGGAGCGACGAGCGACGACAGCAGCGGTGAGCGATGATTGTGGCAGCGGCGAGTAGCGACAGTAGCGGCGAGCAACAAGAGTGGCAGCGGTAGTAGAGAGCAGCGACAACAAAGAAGAAATCTCAACGGCAAAATCGTGGGTGTTAGGGTTAGGGAAGTCGGGGAAATCACGAGAGGGAGCTTGATATCGGTGATTTAGTTGGTTTGATTGAACTAACTAAACCATTGGAGACCGAATCGGACGTAAAACACTGGTTCGGTCGCTTGGTTTAACCCGGGCGCTCGCCCGAAGCGCCCGGCGCCTAGGCTCGGGCGAGCGCCTAAGCGGCGTCTTTTTGAAGCGAGGCGCTTGGACATGAAGTGAGGTGATCGGGCCTCGCCTCGCCTCGCCTCGGCCGAGCGCCTAGGCGAGCGCTCGAGCGCCTATTGAAATCGCTGTTGCATATGAAGGATGTACTATATCATCAACATTTGAAAGTTGTTGATTTTTAATATTTTTAAATTTAGGATGTATTGATGATGTATTGTTGTTTTTTCTTTAGCTGACAAATTTGATTAGAATAGTCATCTGTTTGTAAGTTTGATGATTTTTATTTTTCACCATTGCAGCTGCTATACAATGCTTGAAAAGGAAAAGACTTCACGAACAACAAGTCGAACAGCTTGGGAATTTCCAGTTGCGGATTCATGATCAGGTTTTATTTTCAACTTTTTTATATGATATTTCCTGCAATTATCATTCATAATCAAGTTTATATTATTCTTTGGGGGTTGTTTATTTCTCAGATTATAATGTTGGAAGGTGCAAAAGCCACAACAGAGACTATTGATGCACTGAGAATTGGAGCAGCAGCTATGAAGACTATACAGAAAGAAACGTGAGTGTATAAAGATGTTTTCCTGGAATATATCCTCTTACATGTTTTGTCTTTGCTGTTAGGGCTATATAAAGAAGTTTCTGCTATTTAACTATATGAACTGTAAAAATAAAAGAAAAAATCATGATGATGGTTACGTAACATTCTTGAATTGTGTTTAATTTGATCATTTCTTGTTGTGCTCTTCATATATGTTACTTCTAAGAAGAGATATATAGAGCTAATTTATGTTGTCTTTTTGGTAAAGCAACATTGATGATGTCGACAAGACAATGGATGAAATTAATGAGCAAACTGAGAACATGAAACAAATTCAGGAAGCGTTGTCTCTTGGAGTGGCAGCTGATTTTGATGAAGTATTCACTATTGAAACAATTTCCAATTTCTTTTGTGTCTCTCGCTGCATGTTGATAGACACTATTATGAAATTTCAGGATGAATTGGAAGCAGAACTTGAAGAATTGGAGGGTGCTGAGCTGGAGGAAGAACTGCTTAAACCAGCTACAGCTGCACCTGCTCCACCAGTCCAGGATCCTTCTGTTAAACTTCCCACTCAGCCTATGCCAAACAAAAATACATCTGAAGAAGATGAACTTGCAGCACTCCAATCTGAGATGGCCATGTAGTGAGGTATTTTTCGTTTTTTATTTATTACACTTGCGTGGCGACAAATAGATTTTGCAGTTCATGATGATACCATTGTTTAATTTAACTGGTCTATCCAATGTTTTCTGGTAAAAATTCTTGTTGAATCATGAAATAGAGTAATTTCTGTTGTCCTTTGCCTTCGTCTTAGTTTCCCTTTGTATACTGTACTTAATTTGCTTGCTTCAGTTTATGTGCCACATATTGGTCTGGAAACTAGTTTGCGAAATGGTACACAGAATCCAGACTTTTGTTCATTAGACTTGATTATGGATTTCAGTTGTTAGTATAAACATGTTTATATATATACACATACATTGCCAGTCAATTTATCTCTGATAGCAATCTTAAGTGTATCTTATTACGGGCATGCACTCTTCGGTTATTATGGCTACCACTATTGCATTTGCAGTGCCAAATTTGGCATGCAATTAGAAACTGTACCACTAATCTTTAAAGCTTCTGATTCTGAAATCATGCTTTAATATGTGTATGTTGCCTGTGGTACCTGATGTGAAATATGAAAGACATATACTGTTACATGTTATACTTACCGACCTTCATGGTTTAATATATATGCTTGTCCGTTTTCCTTTAACAAAAAGTAGGAGACGAGAAAACTACATTTGTTGGAATATTTCTTTTTGTTGTGTAAAGTTTATGTTCTGCTGCAATTAATTGCTCTCTTCCTGCTGCTTCCTTTTATGTCTAAAGAAGTTTCTTGATCTAGGAAGTAGGAACTTCAATTAACACTCTTTAGATTGAAAAATCACGTTATATTTTCCTCCTATATCATTTCTCACTATCAAGTGATTTGACATTCATGTTGGTTTTGCTATTTTGCAGGCCTGAAATTTGTGCCGCCTAGAGAATGTGCATTCAAATTGTCTAAAAAAGGATTCGATTACTCAATGGTAGTGTTGTCGGAGATGCTTTGACTTGATAGATTGTGGTCTTCACTGTGCATATGTTTTAGCAGATAATGGGAAGAAAGAGAATCTTCCTATCCTTCTTTTATGGTTTATTGCGGTGTCCAATCTTGTAAACAGTTGTGAGTTGATTTTACCCTATCATATATTGATGCACATTTATCATATCCTAATTTTCACATGAGGAAATGTCTTTGGAATTTTCAGAGGTAACAGTTCTTCAATGAGGATTGACATGTAAGATAAGGCATTTGGAACCTTCTAACTTACAGGCAAATGTTCATTTTGGGGATGATACTGTCAATCCCACCAACCTATTGGATTCGGCCTGTTTGGGTCATGTTTGATCAGCTTTGATTTGTAAACATAGCTTTATTTTCAAAGACAAGATAGATCAAACTTTTTTTATTAATTCGATATATGAAAATCGATGAGATTTAATTTATTTTTTAAGATTTATCATCTTTATCAAATGCATATATGATGATTCGGGCTTGCGAACACGATGTCTTGATAAAACTTTTTCGATGCTCAAATTAGTAAATGGTTGAGAACACTATATTTTTTGAATAAGATTATATTCTTTGAATCAAACCTAATTAGAAGAAAATTCATTAGTAGAATTTGTTGTTGATGTAAAAAATGGTTATGATCTGGCTATTAATCCATATCAATTATTTGCCAGAAGAATAGGAATTATTTGAATAAAATCATCTATCAAACTTATCAGAAAATGATATTGAAATGCTATTATTGGAAATGTTCCGTTTTAAATTAAGTCTCTTCATATGTTAATCTTACACTAATTAAACCATAATCACTGGCATTTGAGCTTTTTATTGGATCTGCACGTTGAACCCGTATCCGCTGTAAAATGGATATCGGGTATGCTTCCCGGATCCGAAAAAGATGACCATAAAAGAACCAAGTGGTCACCCTTTGTGAAGCTTTCCATCGCCCTCTCTCGAAGCGATGTCGTCTCTCTCTTCTTCCTCTCTTCACATCCTCTCTCCCAAATTCCCATCAAAGCCCTCCTGTTTCCTTTGGAAAAGCCTCTCCTTTCTTCCCTCAAGATCCCTCCTTTTATCGTCCCCCATCTCCTTCCAACCCCTCCCCAGATCTTCCCCCCTCCCCCAACCCCTCCGTGCCCAGCCGCAGCAGCGGGAGGAGGAGCAGACAGCCGGCGTCGACCTCTCCCTCCTCCCTCCCAAGCTCCGGGACATCATCGTCCTCTTCCAGTCCGTCTCCGAGCCCAAGGCCAAGTACCAGCAGCTCCTCCACTACGGGGCGCGGCTGCCCCCCCTCGACCCCGCCTTCAAGAACGAGGAGCACCGCGTGCGTGGCTGCGTCTCCCAGGTCTGGGTCCGCGCCTTCATCGACCCCGAGGACGCCGCCGCCGTCCGCTTCGAGGCCGATTCCGACTCCGTCCTCACCAAGGGTCTGGCCGCCCTCCTCGTGCTTGGCCTCTCGGGATCCCCTGCCCCTGTGATCGCCCGCGTGCCCCCTGACTTCGTTCACCTCCTCGGCCTCCGACAGAGCCTCACGCCATCTAGGAATAATGGCTTCCTCAACATGCTCAAGCTCATGCAGCAGAAAGCCCTCCAGCTGCATGCAGATGCTGCTGATTTCAAGGATAGTGAGGCTCTCGGACCCGATAGATTAGACACAAATACAAAAGATGAATTTTTTGAGGGAAAAGATCCGATTTTGGGTGGAAAAGCCAATGAAATGAGCACAGGTCGCGACTCAGTTGTTAATGGTGGCAGAAATTCACCAGGTTATCATGCTTCAGAGGTAGAAGAGAGATTGGAAGAAGATAGGGATGCTGTTGATATGACTCCGATAAGTCCACAAGCTGCATCCGGTGGGAGAAGGGAGAGGATGATCGAGAGATTGGAGAGAGGGCTATGTCCGGTGTCATTAGAGGTGGAGGACATATCTCATCTCCACGCAAGCCATGCTGCAGTTAGGGGGAGCGCTGGTGGAGAGACTCATTTCAACGTTAGGGTTATCTCAAGGGAGTTTGAAGGGAAGAGTTTGGTGAAGAGGCACAGGCTTATTTATGAGCTTTTGCAAGAGGAGTTGCAGAGTGGATTACATGCTCTCTCTATTGATGCAAAGACTCCATCTGAAGCGCAATCTAGTTAAAGAAGAATTAGTTGTGACAAGGTTCTCATTTCTCTTTCTATCTTTTCCTTCAACTCCATCTTTTGTTAAATTGAGTTCTATAACATTAAGATAGATTACCTTCTTCGAAAGCATGCCATCTTGTAAAAACATAAACAGACTTGTTGGTTGAAAAAGTGAAAGATCTATTTTTTGCAGCTGTGCTTGATAATATTACATCATTATTTCACGGAAATATCTTTGCTTGCCAAGACTGCAACCTTTGACCCTCCCTAGGCCACGAACTGTTGGAAATCTCTTCCACTGTTTATCTTTTTATAGCTTTAATTAAATAAAATTTCATATTTTCAATTGCAATCCAAAGTTAACATTTGAGGACACTAAAAAAGCATTCAAATATTATTCGCATCTATAAAACCTATGCAATATAATCATATACTACATCACTCAAACATTTATGAAAACCCAAGTCAAACTTAAAGAAAAATCATCAACCACCACTTTTAAATCCACAAGCATGAGAATCCATACGATCGCAAAACCAACAATTTACCACAAGTTCATATCATCGTAAACTAAACATAACATTCCAAAATTCTAAACGTGAAAGGTCTTTTAAAGTTTTTACATGATACATCAATACAAATTTGTCAACAATATTTCATTACATATAAAATGTACTTATACAACAACAACATATCAACCAATAAGACATCCAAAATCTAAATTGCTTTCCACTTCCTCAGCCCAATTCTAATCTTTCAGGTTAGCTGAAAGCCTAGATGCACATCTTTGTAGCATAACTATTTCTACAATGCCAAAGCATATTATTATTATTTTCATAGTTTCTCTTCTGATTATGTTTCTGGCCTGTTCATCCTAATTACATGGTGACAAAGATACAACTGATGATAGATAGAAAAACACTTTAAAGTTTGACTTTTTGGACCCATGATTTTGGCAATATAGTAGCATACAAGAAAATATCAGAAGTATAAGGTGATTTTTATCTACATAATAAGTCTGATATTTCCTATATGGAGTTTTTGATTTGATCCTGGATAATGCTTTTCGTCAGCAAACTATTTAAATTATGCTCATTAGTGTTCATGTTCTTGAGAACTTCCATTAAGAAACATGTTGCAATTCTATGATACGTATAGCTTATCGTGCTTCATTGTTGTTGTACTGATCGTGGTTAATGATATTGACTACGGTTGAGTTTAGCAACTTAAGAATGTGTTTTGACTTTTTGTAGAGAACAATGCAATAAGCTCAAAAACACTTTCTGTTGTTGACGCATGATGCTCGTAGCAAGGAATAGTTATTATTCTTGAAGATGCCATTGAAGATTGATTGTGGGAATCTTATATGTCTCAAAGAAATATTATTGTGAGAGTGTGTTCTCTGTTAATGTCTACTAAACTAAAATAAGGTTCAAGGTCATCTGTCAGTGTGTTTGGTTGCCATTTATATGTCGAGATCATGAGGAATACCCTTATGCCAATGCCTAGAAGCTCCAATTCTTCCTATTTTCTTTCCTCATTTTTGGAATTGTTATAACAATCTTAAAATGTGACTTTGGCTCAATGATGATAAAATACAATTGAGAAGTTTCATGGTTTTGAGCTTCTAATTGTGTACATAGTGCTCTCTGTTGTGTTGGATTATTTTATCTTTAATCTATTAGCCTAGAGTTTATCAGATTCTCTAACTGCAAGGCTTCTTGTTATATACACACAACTACCAAATGTATCATGGTCAATTTGTTGAATTATTGAACAATAACAAGGCATCATTCCTAATCATTTGGGGTTGGACTGATGGAACTTTTCTGGCCGTTTATCTCTCCTCAGGACAGTGATTATTTTGATTGGACCAAAGGTCAATTTGTTGAATTATTGAACAATAACAAGGCATCATTCCTAATCATTTGGGGTTGGACTGATGGAACTTTTCCGGCTGTTTATCTCTCTTCATGACAGTGGTTGTTTTGATTGTGCAATCTAGTCTTCGACTCCATCTTATGCTAGATTGGTACTGTATCTAATGTAGCATCAATATAATAAATTCCTTATTTGTTTTTTCAAGAAGAGCTATCACTGATCTCAACATCCTTTTTGGGTTAATATAACTCTGGATATGTTGCTTTTTGACTGCCAACATTTTTTATATGCAAAATATGGCTGCAATACCCTCGTAAGAAGTATTTGATTAGTTATGCATGCTTTACAACTTCACTTGCAGTCCATGGTGAAGGTAATTAAAGTGCCATTGATTCCCTAGCCTTGTTACTTGTTACACATTTCTGATACCCTTAGTGTAAAAGTAATGGTACAATCTTCCCGACATGTAAGACTTAATGTGTTTTTTGTTGAACATCTTTGTCCCAGTTAAGTCTGTTCATCACCCTATCCTATAGCTTCTAAATTGGGCAATATAAATCATGAATTTTTTATGCCTCTGATTAACCATTTAATACTCTACATCGAGATTTCTTTCACAAATATTAGAAACAGTTTCTGCCATAAATTGCATCCTTCTCTTGGCATATTTTGACATATTTTGTGTACCTTCATGTTCCTTTGATTGTTTGAGCATGCATCAGACTCTTGTCTATCATCATAATTTGCATTTTTGGACCTTTATAGCATGATTCTATTCAGTGTTTCTTTGTATCAGGATTAGATTGTGTCAGCAAATCACTTTTGTTACAGACTCATGTCTATGAACTTTGATTTTACCGTTTAGATGTTAATTATTGACACCTTTTGGAGGCCAATGGATCAAAGAAGGGAGAGGGAGATACTTGGGCAGGGACTAGAATGGGTCTTATTTGGCATCTCGGGGTGTCTGGCAGCCTTCAGCCAAGCATTTAGATCTTATTGGCTAACTTATAACGGAGAGGGATTACTGTTACTATATACAGTAACATGCTTGCAGATATCTACTTGAGACCAGAAATCTCCAAACTGTTGTTCATACTGAAAACTATTCCAGTATGCCACTCTCTCCAACACCTCCCTGCCATATAGTATGCATGTTTGAATTCCCATCAAGATAATGTTCATTCTATAGTATTGACTTTAATAGGTTACGCATGGTGAAACTGAGAAGGCCCTACCTGTTAGAAATTGCTGGCAAGGCTGAGAGATGCTACCAGATTATGCAGTTCGGTACTGTTTGTCAAAGGAGGAGTGCAGCTTGCAACTGTCCACATTGAGTTGAATGTATGATAATTATTTTGCACAAAAAGATGCGTTGGGTTATAGGTTTAGGGATCAAAAGGATCTGATGTTACTCTAGTAATTTAATTTTTTGCTCTGCTCTGGTTATCCTTGTGATAGAGACTGCCAGCAATTTATGCTTATATTTTTATGTGTTCTCTTCATGCATAAATCTCTTTTACTGTTCACTTCATCAACTAATTTATGTACACATTTTTTTAAATATAAGCCTATATGCATTTAATGCACCAAATTTTTTTCCTGCAATGAATTTGTTGGCTCTTAACACAATGCTTTTATTTTTCATTCATGTATTATTAATCACAAGTATTTTAGGAAGACAAAAGCAAACTTGGATACCTAAAAACCTACTGTCTCTTAAATTGTGGGTTAATTTGGATATATGCTATCTGATTCTTTTAATGTCTAACAATATGTGATCAATATCTAGCTCATCTTTCTTCATCATACACACCTGTTTCTAGACAAATTTATGCATGATATGGACAACTATGGGCATTAAGGGGGTATGAGCTCTGGTGTTTGAAATGATACTGAAGATGACCTTACTGAAGTTTTTCTCTACACTTCTGATCTCTTAGGTCTCGCCTTGAACTCATTGATCCTTCAATTCCAACAAAGAAATCACAATCAAACTGTATAAGATAGACTGCTTGCACCTGCCTTGGAGGTTCTTATGGAAGCGAAGAACCCAACCAAAGAGCAGAAGCTGCAGAAAGTTCACTTTCTTGAGAGAAGAGGATTTGGAACCTAAATTTCGACCTGATGCTGATTTGGATCCAATATTATAAGTAGATGCTGTATCGATGATCAGTATTTGAAACCTTCATTGGAAGGAGCTTCTTATTTTCTTGAAATCTCTTTGGAGATTTGTGTTCATCATCCTAGGCTAGAAATCTACAAATGTACAAACAGTCCATATGACTTGATAATTCAGTCAACTCAACCTATGCAATTGTGCATGTAAAACTTCTTGTTCTTTTATGTCCCAAGATGATGTAGACCATCTTTTACATTTGAGCTACTCATTGTATCAATGTGGATTAGAATCCAGCTTTGATGTGAATTTTGTGGACTTGAAATATGAGTCAAATGTCATGCTTTATAGCCTCAGTTCCTGAATGCTGCATCTGTCCATTTCACCCAGGAATCATTGATTATACAACTAATCACTTTAATCATCTATATTAATAAGAAAAACTTGATGAAATGAGTTAACCTTCTCCACTGGGATACATGATTTGAAGCCAATTTATCTATGTTAAACTACTTTTGTTGGCTCAAGCTTGATCATTCTAAATCCTCCATGCAACTCACTGACACAACCCAACCAAATTGAACCATCTCAAATTAGATTCATATATTTATTTATCCAATAAATGAGTTATATGTCTATATTTTTAATTATCCAATCTATGAGTTATATATCAAATTAGATATGCCAAATTCACTCTCACATAGGCAGTTTATAGGGTTTTTGTGAGATCTAAACAAGGAAGAGAAAATGATTCTCTTCATCCCTTCCAAGAGAACTTTCTTGTCTGGTCTATCTCTAAACAACAGAAATATTTCTTTTACCCAATGAAATGGTTTGCTCCATCACAAAGGAGTTCCAAACACTTCGCACTCTGTGCTATAAACCCGAAACACGGGAAAACAGAGCACCGCAATCCAGGCTTCTCTCCAAGAGATCCAAGCAGAGGGAGGGAGGGAAAGAGAGATGGAAATGGCGGGGCGGAACTCCACGCTGCTGCTGCTTTTTGCCTTCGTCTTCTTCATCCTTCTGCTGCAAAGACCAGTTTTTGCTACCAAAGAGGCATTCTTTTGGATCTTGCTTCCTCAAAGACTGAATCTTTTTGATGGACTGCGTCTTGTTGGCTTCATTGTGTGTGCAGGCTTATGTGGTGTACCTCGGAGAGCACTCGCGTGACCCCGATTTGTCTCCCTGGGAAGCTTCCATGAGAGCAACAGAGTCCCACCATGAGCTGTTGGCTTCGGTGCTGAAGGAGTAAGCAGCAGATTTATTCGAGGTTTCAATCTCTTGAATTAGAATCATAACTTGTCATTGACTGATTACAGCAAGGAGAAGGTGGAAGATGCAATCTTTTACTCTTACACCCACAACATCAATGGCTTTGCGGCCTACCTCGGGGAGGAAGACGCAATGGAGATATCAAGTAGGCCTTAGGACTCCTCCATCTCGTACGTAACGCGTTCCAACTCTTCCATCTGTTCTTTGAGAGCCGTTTCCTTCTGATCTTGTGGCAGAGTACCCAGGAGTCGTATCAGTGTTTCCCAACAGAGGCTACAGTCTTCATACCACTCGTTCATGGGAATTCCTTGGCCTCGAGAGGAACAGCGAAACGCACTCAGCGTGGAATAAGGCTCGATTTGGAGAAGACGTAATCATTGCAAACCTTGATTCTGGTATCATCATTGCTTCAACAATCTTGTTCTTGAACGTTCATCATTGGTTCATCGAGTACTGATTGATCAACTCAAGCTTTTACTCGATCTAATTCTTCCGAGATCACTTCGTCTGTCGTTGTGGATTCGCAGGTGTGTGGCCTGAGCACCAGAGCTTTAAGGATGATGGCTATGGAGCAGTTCCGTCGAGGTGGAGAGGAATCTGTCAGCAAGGCAGTGACCAAAGCTTCTCCTGCAACAGGTATGTTCCTCAGCCTTCATTCTGCACCAATTCCTTCGTTCCGAGATGGTCGATCATGTTCAGGAGTCTCGATTTCTGGGATGCAGGAAGCTGATCGGTGCTCGGTACTTCAACAAGGCGTACAGAGCCGCCGCTGGCCCGCTCAACGCCACCTTTTACTCTCCGCGAGACTACGACGGGCACGGCAGCCACACTCTCTCCACCGCCGCCGGCAACTTCGTGCCCGGCGCCAGCATCCTCGGCCACGCCAACGGCACCGCCAAGGGCGGCTCGCCTCGCGCCCGCGTCGCCGCCTACAAGGTCTGCTGGCCGCGGACCTTCCGAGGCGAGTGCTTCGACGCCGACATCCTGGCTGCCTTCGACGCAGCGATCCACGACGGCGTCGACGTCCTTTCCCTCTCCCTCGGCGGCCGTCCCTCCGCCTACTTCGAGAATTCGCTAGACATCGGTGCGTTCCACGCCGTGAAGAAAGGTATCACCGTCGTCTGCTCCGCCGGCAACTCGGGCCCCAATAACTCCACGGTCACGAACGTAGCGCCATGGATTCTCACCGTAGGCGCAAGCACTTTGGATCGGGATTTCCCCGCCGATGTCGTCTTCGGCAACAAGAGAGTCACGGTCGACTCCATGAACTCCCATTTCATCTTCACAGATCGATTCATGTCCACCATGCCAGCACACTAACTCTTCCTTTACAGGGAAAGAGTCTCTCCGAGGCATTGACAGGCAAAAAGCTCTACCCACTCATCAACTCCAAAGAAGCCAATCATGGCAATGCATCGAAGGAGAAGGCGTAAGTGACCTACTTACTCACTCAAGATCGAATCTTGTGAAGCTTGGACGGATCTAAGCGGAATCTACTTGCAGTGAGTTGTGCCTTCCGGGATCGCTGGACCCGGCAAAGGTGAAAGGCAAGATCGTCGTGTGCCTCCGCGGCAGCTCTGCAAGAGAAGCCAAGGGAGAGACCGTTCGTGAAGCTGGCGGAGTTGGGATGGTTCTCGCAAACTCTGGTAGCTTTGGGAACGAGATCATAGCTGATGTACATGTCCTCCCGGCAACTCACATCACCTTCTCCGATGGCCTCGCCCTCTACTCTTACCTCAACTCCACCAAGTAAGCTCTGTTTTGCTTGTTGCTCCAATCATTGGTAGCGTTCATATCTGCAACTGCGATGATTCTCTCTCAGGTCGCCGCTCGGTTACATTGCGGTCCACATGACGAAGCTTGGAGCGGAACCGGCGCCGGCCATGGCCTCTTTCTCCTCTAGAGGACCAAACACCATCACCCCCGGCATCCTCAAGGTTTGCTGAAGACCGTGTTATGGTTGATGCATGCATGCGTTGTGTAGCTGAAACATTTCAACCTGGCTTTGCAGCCTGACATTACTGCACCGGGCGTCGATGTTCTTGCTGCCTCCACCGGAGACGTTTCGCCAACAGAACTGGATTTCGATCGCCGGCGGGTGGCGTTCATGTTGAAATCTGGCACCTCCATGTCATGCCCTCACATATCAGGAGTCGTAGGTCTCCTCAAAGCTCTCCACCCCGGTTGGAGCCCTGCTGCAATCAAGTCCGCGATCATGACGACCGGTAAGAGCCGTCAACACCCATGCTTAAATTAGCTTTCACTCGATTGCTTCATTGGACTCGTTGCAGCGAGAGTTTGGGACAACGAGAAGCTGCCATTGTTGGACGAGGCGACCTTCCTCGACGCCTCGCCGTTCAACTACGGCTCCGGCCACGTTCGACCAAACCGCGCCATGGATCCCGGCCTAGTTTACGATCTAACGACGACGGATTACTTGAACTTCTTGTGCGGCCTCGGCTACAACTCCACTCAGCTGGCAGAGTTCCGCTCCTACTCGTGCCCATCGAAGCCTCCTCACATCAAGGATCTCAACTATCCTTCCATCACCATCCCTGATCTGTCGTCCTCCACCAAGGTGACTCGTGTGGTGAAGAACGTGGGATCACCAGGCACGTATGCTGTCCGCGTGATCGAACCAAGAGGGATTTCAGTGACTGTAAGCCCCACCAATCTCACATTTGACGAGGTTGGGGAGGAGAAGAAGTTTGAAGTCACGTTGAAGAAGATTAAGGAGGGGGAATCATCTGCAGAGTATGTGTTCGGTAGATTGATATGGACTGATAGGAAACACTATGTTAGAACTCCACTGGTGGTGAAGTCTACCTCATAAAAGCCACTATTTTTTATTTGATTAATATGTATGAAATAAATTTTAATTTAAAAGATATTATTAGCATAAACCTATATTTGATCGTGATATATTATAATTAAATTTTATTAAATCTCTATCACCATTATCAAAATAAGATTTAGTATATATTTCAAATATCACATAATCATTATATGGTGTAACTTTACTACTCTATTAGCTTAACTATAAGAAGAAGAGGGAGAGAACACATACATCTCCTAATTATCCTTAAAGAAATCTTATTTACATGGAATAGTATATTATTAGGTGATATTAACTAATTATTTATCTATTTTCATTCCATTGTAAAAAATATTATTGTAAGGTCTTAAGTTCAAATTTTATGGGGTAAAAAATATTATTGGACTAAATCATCAGTTTGGAAATTTCATGAAAGGGGAAGTTTATGTAAAACAGATGTTTGAGAGTAGTGTGTTGGTGACTCTAAAAGATTTTGCCAAATCTAACATTGTAACCAAACCATGGTTAAGTGGAAGACTCTTCTAAAGGTCATTTGGGGAGGGGGTTGTGTGGATAATTAGTTTTATGAGGAGAGATATTTATGTAAAGGAAAGAAACCAAACAAGTACTTTAAAAAAGGATCATCTCTATGCCCAACCTTCTTTTTCCAGGCGGCCGCTCTCTCTCTCTCGCTCCCCAATTACTTCGACCAACCTTCCCCTCCTCTTCGCCCCTCGCTTCCATCACTTCTTCTCTACATCAGGTAATTAATCTCTCTCTCTCTCTCTCTCTCTCTCTCTCTCTCTCTAGGCGTGTGTGTGTGTGTGTGTGTGTTTTGGGCTCGAGCTCGTGGTTCCCATTTGAACCTTTTGATGAGTCCATGAGACGCTCGAGACCCTCATCGCCGCTTGCGATTCGATCGCGGATTTCCCCTTTTTTTTCTTTCCTCTTGTCTGATTAAAGATCCAATGTTTTCTAGATGTTCTTGGTGAGATCCGTCTTTCTTTCCCCTGTTAATAACAATTTGTGGGTGGTTTGGAGATTTCTTTGTTTCGTTGTAGAAAAGTTCGGATTTTGACATGTTTTTTCTTCGAAAGGTGAGGTTTTGGATCCGGTCTGCGTGAAAGCTCGGATTTTTGACGAGGGGGCATGGATCAGCAGCCCGGCCACCCTGTCCCACCGATGATCGGCGTCCCCCCCGGGGTCCCCTATCAGGCCTATCAGAACCTCTACCACCAGCAGCAGCAACAGCAACTCCAGATGTTCTGGGCTGACCAGTACCGCGAGATCGAGCAGACCACCGACTTCCGCAACCACAGCCTGCCGCTCGCTCGGATCAAGAAGATCATGAAGGCTGATGAGGACGTGCGCATGATCGCCGCCGAGGCCCCCGTGGTCTTCGCTCGGGCCTGCGAGATGTTCATCCTGGAGCTCACGCACCGGTCGTGGGCCCACGCCGAGGAGAACAAGCGCCGGACTCTGCAGAAGAACGACATAGCGGCGGCCATCAGCCGCACTGACGTGTTCGACTTCCTCATTGATATTGTGCCGAGGGAGGAGGGGAAGGAAGACGTTGCCCACGCCCTCGGAGGCCCACCTGTCGACCCTCTCTCCTACTACTATGTCCCCAAATAGCAGCGGTGCGAGTCTTTGAGCAATTCTCATATGCTCTCATTTGCATAAATGCATTAGCATGACTGTAGACTTATGATGCTGAACTCGGTATGCTGTGTTTGATGCTGATGGAAGAACCTAATAGTGAGTAGAATTTGCTTGCCATGGCTGGTGATGTGTTCGTGTTGGTGAGTTTCTGCTGTACAACTGTGTCCCATCCAATTGCATTTATGTTTAATGACAAGCTTATGTTATCTGACATCCTGCTATGAAACTTGATTCATGTAAGTTTTGTTGCATACATGTTCGATGAGAAGCTTATTCTACTTGGCATGCTGCTATAGGACTTGGTTCATATGGGTGTTGTTACCTCTAAGTTAACTGTTGTGGAATGGTTCAAGTAATATGCATGATGAGGAGTTTGAGATTCCATTTGGGATGTATGTGCTTGCTGGTTATTTTTTCCTGCTCAATTTGCAAATATGCTAGGAATAATACTACTTTTTGACTAGCTTTATGCATGAAATTTGAGGAAAATATTTGTTTACATTTCTCTATGAAAAATTGTGTGAGAATTAGGAGAGGAGATTATTATAGGCATGATGGTTAAGGTACTCACAGAAACCATTTCTTTCTAATGTTTGACGGTGAGTCGAGTGAATTTTTTTCTCATCCACTGATTCAGGTGGGTGCTGCAGCAGTTTACTTCTTTGTCGCTATGGCCTCTCTATTTATGCGATGTTGATGTCCATGTTTCTTTCTTGGAAAGAACAAGACAGAGTAGGGTAGAGACATTTGTTGAGACTTACAGCTGTTGTGACAGGTGCAGTATGTGCTCTTAATTATTTCAGGATAAGTTTAGGTCCTTATTCATTGTTATTCCAATGCTGGTGGTGTATGGTCATCTCTAAATTTATTTTCTGGTTTGTTTAGTTTGGAGTCATTCATGTTGGATCTTTGTTTGGGTCGATGAGCATTCTTTGATATCCTTTATATGCAGTTCATTCATGCTGATACTAACACATGTACTCTTGAGAGTTGCTTCCAGTTTCTTGTGGGTTACTGTGCTAATTAATTTACCTGAAAACATGTGGTCATGTTAACATGTGTAGACAGAGAGGTCAGGGAAACTAAGCAAGTGGAATCATCTGCTTCGAGGTCATGCAGATTAGTGCCTGGTAGATGTGAAGTTCAAGTTCTGAGGTTTCCTAACTGTTTTAAGAATTGGATGACTGCAGTAATGTTGGCTCTCTTATCTTTCAATTTACGAATCACAAAGTTTTAAGCGTGATTTATGAAAAATGTTGTGACAAATCATGTGGTGTATCATTGATTTATCGATAACATCCTCGTGATGTCTTTTAGTAAGTATTAGACGGGCCAACTATTAGTCGTCGATAAAAGTCGATGTTCTTGATTTTGAAATTTCCTGCTTTGTCCATATCAATTTCATTCAGAATTCTAAGTTGCCATAGGTCCTGTTTGACTCCTAATCCTTCATACTTATCTTGGAAGAATACTATTTAGACTTGAAGAAAAGGTCTTTGATGGCATTTTATTCCTTCCCCCAAACCCCTCAATTCATCCACTTATATCTCTGTCTTTATCAATTCTCACAAACTTTTTATCTGTAGCATTTGTGCTTCAGTAGGGGAATTCCAAGTGAAGAAAACTTAAAACATTTTTATTATGGTTTGTGATATGGACGACATTTTGAAGCTCATGAGGAGCATTTTCTTGATACCTGTATTTTGATTAGATCAGAGTATCTGTTTATCTGAGGACAAAAATGAGGGTGATGATTTGAAAATCTCCATGATCACCTAAGATGATTATTTTTGTTTTTTTTTTTCTGAATGACAAATCCTTTTTGCTTTACATCTGAATCATATAATGAGTATGTAACTCATGTCATTTCTTTAATGTGCAATCATATTATTCTTATTTACCTGAACAATTCAGCATCCTCATGACTTTTTATCTTTATCCATCCAAGTGCTTTGCCCCATCATCCAGCCATGAATGGGTCAAGGTAACCATAACCCTAACAAAGTTGCACCTTCCTCTACAAAAACTCCTGTGTCCAACCTCAGCTTCCATGACCTTTTTCTTGCAGAGATGGTTCCACTTTTCCACTTTGAAGCACAACTTGTTTGTTGTTTGTGGTCAAATTATGATGATACGTTACTTATCCATCTGAGTTTTACTTGTTCTTAGATCTTAGGAGGCTTAGCATGATTTTTATGGTTGAAAAAATCAGTTGAGCAATTCGGTTTGGATGCTTTGTTGTTTGCAATTGCCTTCAAAGCATAGTTATCATTATTTAGGGAGGATATTGACCTTTTCAAGTTTTGACTTATTGCAATAATTTATATTTCACATATAATAATAATAATAATAAATTATTAGTTATATAATGCTTAGATTGTATAGTAAAAATGTAATTATTAAACACCCTTTTGTTAAAGAATGGCTTCAAGATATTTGATGAAAGGATAAATGAAAATTCAAACTCTAATAAGTTGGATAATAGAATAACAAATTAGCATGAGATGATAGTAAATGCTTGGAGAAGAGAGAAAAATAATGATAATGAAAAAGAATTGGTAATGAAAAGGTACTGATCAAAGAAAGAGAAGAAACTCTGTAATGAAAGAGACAAGTGAAGGGTAAACGAGAGGACAATATCAAAAGAATGAGAAAGTAACAACACATGAAGAGGATGAGGTAGAGTTCCCTTTTTCTATAAAAATGAAATACCTCTAAAATTATATAAAAAGAGTAATTATATCTAATAGTATTTTGGTCAATAAGTAAAAATAATAATTTTAATGTTTAGTCGGTCCGATTCCTAATATTTTTTGTTAGATCGACTGATTCGATTCGAGTTCAATCACTAATTTGATCGACCCGAATCCCGATTTAGTACACCCTAAAATTATATAATAATAATAATTATATCGATTTGATCGGATTCATGATTTAAAATATCTAAAAACTATATAAAATAATTATATCTAAAATTATTTTGATCAATAAGTTAAAAGTAATAATATATTTAATTTATATCGGAACCGATTCCTGATTCTCCGGTTCGATCGACCGGTCCGGTCTAGGTTTAATTAACTAATTTGATCGAGCTGATCTGGGTTTAATAACTAAGAGCAGAGAAGTGTCATCGAAGCCTTCTTCGCAAGGAAACCTTCCCATGGATGGAGGGAAAGCGAGCTGAGGAATGCCTCGAGTCGTGAGCTAAGTCAGGACTCGAATTAATACCAGACAGTTGGGATGAATCACAGCAGGAGGGGTATTTCCGTCTTTTCGGTTGCAGGGAGATAAAGGAAGCTAAAGAATACTACGACATCACGATCGTCTCATTTCCTTCTTCGCCCTAACTCCGCCTGTGCGGGCGCCCGACGCCATCTGCTGTCTCCCCCTTGGACGAGATTGCGGCATTTTAAGGCGGCGCTTCTCGACTTCATCGGGCAACAAACAGGTAAATCGTTTCTCTTGGATCTTCATTTGCGAGATTTGTTTTAATTTCTTGTCCACGAGGATTCAGGTTTCTTTCTCGTGGACCTTCTTTGCTTTAATTTCTTTCGTCCTTTGATCTCCTGGGCTCTCGATTCCTTCATTTATAGCGCTAAGTTCTCTATTTTAGGCGGTTGAAATTGGTCTTGGGGATTCAGACTGTTGATTAGGGTTTAGATCAAGAGTAAAGATTTCTTCTCGGGCGTGGGATGATTGGATCAAGAGGGGTGGTAGGGGAGAAATGGTCGCAGAGGATCCTGTGGTTCTGCGCCATCGGCAGCGCCATCAGTACGTGCTCTTCTTTTTCTTCTTCTTCTTCTCGCTGATTTCCGAACTAGAATGCAGCTAAAAATTTCATCTTTTTTCTTCTTCTGTGGTCATGATCTTGGCGGTGGTGTGTGTGTAGGCTTGTACATGGTGGCCGTCGAGAGGCAGGCGCAGAACCGGCAGCGGATGATTTCCGAGGGCTTGAGAGATTTGGACGGTGCTTCTGACAAATCTGGAGTCGAGGATGTGTGAATCGGTTAGATAAATGCCAGAAACTTTGGCCAAGCTTTGAATCTTGCATACTGAAACTATGGTTATGGCCCAAAGAAAACAAGTGTGAGAACAAACAAGAATAAGTAGCATGAGTTAATTTTTCCTTGGTTTTGCCACAATGGTTTCTTCTTCAACTGCTCGTCATGCTTGGGAATGGTATTCGATCATACAGAAAATGTAATAATGCCTTTCGATCATAACCATGAGCTAGCTTTAAATAAACATGACAACTTGGATTGATTTGATCTCTTTCCAATTTTTGTGGATCTTCCGTGGTTTCATATCCTGGCTTCCTAAAAGCAACATCAACCAGATTCCCCAATTGTGAAGGATAATCTCTCTCGATACAACCATCATATGGTCTTAGGTTTGTGACCTGCTGAGCACACCAAGTATAGCCAAATCATGCTAAGATCAGGTAATAAATTTCTAGGCAGGTGCACAATGCACTACTGGAACACTATGATCAATATTGAATCACCTCACCCACTTCTGTCACGCCAAGATATCAGAAATGTCACCAAGACATTGTCTTACGACCAATATTATGATCACTGATCACATTATTACAGGAACTGTTGTTGCATCACTTGTGAAGTAAAACCTATTGAGAAGACTCAAATGTGGTATCTCAAGTCTGCAAGAACTCCAGAATTCACAGGCAGACCCCCCCCTTCCCTTACTGTCTGTCTCTTGGCTGTGTATAGAAGCGCTTTGGGCATCTAAAATGATGCAACAACATTTCTTTCTCTACTTATAATTCTGTTGTCAACCCGGTATAGATGGTGGACCCAACTGATTGATTTCAACTGTTCTCGATCTTGGCAAATATACGAGACCCTAAAGGAAAACGCAAGATAAATGACAACATATATTGAGAACAAGCATGATAATTGATGCGTGCAAATGCACAAGTTTATTCTCATGGAACTAGTCGATGATACTGATGATGTCCATACTTTGTGAAGATTCAAACTAATACAAGATAGAAACAAGAGGGAGAACCTGTCCGGGATGTGCAAATATACAATCACTGGAGCTACATACTCATCTCTTCCGGCAGGCTAATTTCTAAGAAATACAAGCTGAAAAAAGAGTAGGCCATGTCAACCAACTTAAGACTGAGAGGAGACTAGTTAGATACAATTATGAATTATTGAAAGAAAAAAAATGAACATCAACAGTCTCCTATGAGGATCAGTTTCATGTTCAACTAAATCAACTATAAAGTTTAACCTAAATATTTGTATGAGTACGATGGTAACACCTTTGCAAATTCTATCATACTCCTTAGAATGGTAAATAAAACAACATAAAATCATTTAACAAAGGTAATTTTGTCATTTATGATTCTGCTATTATCTTGATTTTAGGTTATAAAAAAAAAAAGGCACCAAGAAATCTTTCATTTGCAAAATGAAGCTTAAATTTTAATGGATGTCTAACCTTGCAGACATCAAAGCCATGCCAACAAACACAGCTTGGACTGCTTGTTTATGGCCTGCATATTCAAATGCTAGAGGCAGCATTTCGTGCAGTGTCAGAAAAGCCATAACTCCACCAACTAGACAAAGCAATGGTATAAGAATCAGACAACCGGTAAGTTAGTATCTTATAATGGAAAAGGATGGGAATAATAGATTTACCTGATCCAAGTAAGCCTTCAAGAATCTCAGGACTTAGACTGCTTGGGAACAGGTAAGCTGCAATTCAACAAAAAAGGCAAGTTAGAACTGTAAACTGCAATTAGCAACAAAAAAGTTTTAACCAAATCATAAATAAAATCTTAGCAAACAAAGAATTTGTACATACCATCTAACAAATTAACCTAACCCTTTCTCATCAACCAGTGATTAATGCTAGGAGTTACCAAACATTCAACTTGTAGACAATGATCACCTATCACTTACAGTGTCACATGGATTGATGCACATCCAAGAGTCCAACTTAACAAGAGTAAAAGAAGAATTCAAAATACATTTATTAAAAAATAAAATAGAAAATTCATTAAATCAATTAATTACATAATTAATATGTAATATAATCTTTTCACATGCTTTTGAAATATACCAATCAGATCTGAAGGGAAAAAAAATTAAAATATGAAAAGGAACTAGTCCCTCATGAATAGTCACCAACTCTCCCAACTTTTGCATGACATCTCTCTCTCTCTCTCTCTCTCTCTCTTCAATCCAATCTCACAAATAGACAAACCTTACAGCAGTGATCATAAGTTCATAACTATGTTATATTAAAACACAGTGAAAAGAAGTCAAGACTGGAATCAGCTATGCCAGCCAAATGAACAAGAAAGAAGGAAAGCTTTAGTTTGGAAATATGGTCCAACTGAGGTAACATAAGATCATCAAGATGAAGCAAGTAGTGCATACCCACAAATATGACACCTAGTGGCTCAGCAAACCCAGAAAGTGTTGCCAATTTGAATGCCTGCCATTTGCTGGACCAAGCAAATAAAATTCAAACTCAGACCTGTATCAACCCCTTCCAGAACAAAGCGGTAGTACTGAATGTGCTACAAGTTGTCATAGTAAGCTATGAAATATTACAATTATCTTAGTAAAATGAGATGCACTTAAGTATCTCTTGACACAAATTTCTCATATTTCTAAGCGTACTTTAATAAGAATTAAAGTAAATAACTACCTTTGTGTAGCAAAATATACAGGAAGGGCTACCGCAACACCCTGCAAAAAAAATAATTAAAAAAATTCAGAAAACAAAAAGAACCACATTCTTAACCACACTATGTTCAGTTGAAGTTTCATCCTTAATGGAAACTAAGATGACAATAATAATTATAATTCTCAGCACAGTTAAGATTTTAAAAAAGTTTATGTTTTCAGGTCAAGCTTAATTAGATTCAAAGTTATTTCACTGGAATAGTTTAAAGATGAATCAGCAATAACCTTGTACGGGCTCTAGGTTCTCTCATGTCAAAACCATCCGTTGATTTGTGCTTTTACCAGAGAAGCACGAAGGACACGGGACACGAACATGACACAACACCGACACAGTGATGTCATTTTTAAAAAAATTACGATACAGACATGACAAGGACACATGTAATTTTGTAATTACATAATATTTGATTAATATGAATTTTATTGGATTTATACTTAAATTTTACAAACTCAGCAATGTGTACAAATAAATATGACGCCCATGACCCATCTCCATGCTGAATCCAAAGTAGATGGCCCTCACGTGAGGGCCATGCGAGCACAATGCCACACACGAGGACCACGTGATGAAGCACGCAGGAGTGAAGTGGGAGTGATGTCGTGTCCAACAAATATAAATGAAAAATAAATAAAAAAGGACACAGCTGAACGTGTGTCAGACATGTGTTTGACCATGTCGACAGTGTATACGTGTCCGGCTCGTGTCGAACACGAACACATCCAACAAAAGTACATGTTCATGCTTCTTAGGCTTTTACCATATTAATCTGCATATGCAGCTTTACAATGCAAACAAGATGATCTTTTTTGGGGAAACCTATTGTATTTGAATTTGATTCCTTCAGCACAATATTTTCTGTTTTAATTTGTTCAATAAACACATTATTTCACATACACAAGGGCCTAACCTTGTTTCAACAAATTGGAATTGGTACTCCTCGAGGATTAGGTGGAATGTAAGCACGTGGAAAGAAATAAGACATGAAAAAGGTTAAGAAAATGCATATTCAAACATTTGAATTTGAAGGTCTATTTCATGAACATAACTTAATGGAGAAACAACTTTTTGAAGACTTCCAGTATTATAGATTTCAGATGAAGGCAATGGTGAATTTTGGAAAACTAAATTTGCAACCCAATATAACTGAACAGAGAACTTCACACAAACTACAAATACAAACCGAATAATCACCTCCGGAATATTATGTAAAGCAATAGCCAATGCCAAGTTGATGCCGACACGAAGTCCCTGCAAGATAATTGACCAAGAACAATTAGTTACAGTACATGATTGGCTTCAACATGATTTTAACTAATTGTGCATAACAAACTTTTTATGTCAACATATCCTCAGTATAAATTTCAGAAAAACAATGGGTGTAGAACCATATGTCAACACATCCTCCTAATAAAATTTATATGACCACTGGCAGAAGAGCCATAAACCACGACATCATCCTTTCTAAGATCAAATTCTATGTCACTGTTTCATGGGGCAAGTTCCTGAGTGATAGTCACACTTTTACCATGACAAACCATTTAAGACAAGCTCATTGAACACTGATGGTAGTTTTGAAGTAGCAAGATCTTTTCTTTGTCTGAACTACAAAACCAACATAATTATTAATATTGTGCTATCTCATTCAAATGTTGTAAATCACCTTATAGCAAGAATCTAGCTTAAGTATGACAACAAATTCTGTCTGTATCCCTACATTCCCCATCCAATATTACTCCACAACACCATATAAATAAATATATAAATAATTAGCAGCTGTATAACATGAAAACAACAAGCACTCAATCAACACTATGCACATAGTATTTTATTCAAGAGAGATATGATGATAGGAATCCATGTCATAAAGCAAGATCTTTAATCAAGAAATAAGAGATATACCTTCATTGATCCAAGAAAGACCGCCATCCCCTCGGGAAAATTATGCAAGCTGATGCCTGTATCACATAGATGAGATGAATGGATTCTACATATGCAGAAGAATGCAAAGGTTGCACAATATACATGAAAAGTTGGATAAGTAATGAACTTTTCACAAGAATCCGACATTATGTAAGCAAAATATAAGGAAACATATTTTTCCATCAATGATGGGTGGTCATTAGACTGTAACAATAAAGGAAAGCATAAGACTAATACATGAAGAACTCATTCCAAGAAGTATGTGAAGATATCAATTTAAGTTTCTAAATTCTTCCATTTTTAAACAAACTTATAACTAATGTTAACATTTAAATTGGTTGTTGATACCTTATTTTAAGTAGCATATAAAATATTTTTTTCTACCTTATTGAACTTTCAGAGTAGCTTAAGAAAGTAACTTCCACAGGAAAGAAGACATGTTACTATCTAATGAAATTTGAGAAACATTAGCACTTTGAGACCCAAATAATTGGGCCTTTATGACTTGTCAGTTTACTGGGCCAACCCATTTTGGCTTTTAAAACCATGTGCATGCATTGCCAGAATGAGTGTGAGTGAGGACAGCATAGACACGCAAATAACAAAAATAGGAACAACATACTAGCATCTAATGCAACAAAAGTTTTACAGCTCTAGAATAACATGTACTTATGTAGTGTCTGACCTTTCAATCATATTCTTAGAACAACCTTGGACAATAAGCTCTGCGAGCTAATAACTTGAATAAATAGAAGCTTCACAACAACATAAGCATCTTAGAAACCTCACGTCTATTGTATTTGTTAAAAGCAACAGTTTCCAATATCTTTAGATCTGGATGTTCACTTAGTAATAACACTAAAATAAGCCACTTAGTTCAGGTCATGTACATAAGACTTCTAGTTTTTAAGATCTCAGACAATGCATACCACAGCAAAACTTACCAATTCAATAAACGATGTGAAGACTTTTTATGTAATAAAGTTACTTTGCTCGACCATTAACTTCTGTAATATAATATCTCAGAAAGCTGCATTACATATTCAACCAACATGTTGCACCAATTGTCATTAATTAAAATTTTGAAAATATTGATTTTTTGAGGATCCTACCAAAAAATATTAAATCTAAGTATATACATGCATTAGAAAGGTTTTCATTCTTAGATATATGTTAGTGGGTAACTATTGAACACTAAAAGAAATCTTTCAATAATCTCACTATTTTCACCCTGATTTTATTAAATGGGATATACAATGTGGACCTTGTAATGTACAGACTATTGTCATAGTAATTCTACAAAAAAGAATAGGCAGGAAGCATCATATGTAAATTTTATATGTAAATAATAACAGCTTTATCATTCAATATAAAGGAGAACTCCACAGAAAGATATTAAGAAGCATGATTACCAACTGCAGTGATTATCCCACTAAATAAGATTTGGTGTTGGTGTTTCCTGTTCATATCCTTGGTTGATCCATCATCTTCTGTCTATCATTATAAGAGAAAATGAGACAAGCATGAATATTTGTCTCTTACTAAGAGAGAACACGACTGATGACAAAATCATGTTCTCTAAGGTGTTGAAAATATATTCACACACCAACCTCTTCATTTCTTGAAACAAATGATGGTTCTGGAATAAAATTTACAATCGAGGCGAAAAATAGTGCTCCAACAAAGAACTGCAGATTCGAGAATATAAAATTGAAGATAACAACACTGATAAAATAAGCATCAAAGGGTGTAAAGAAGAATTAACATGACAGTGTCAAGGACTTGATTGATTGCATTAAATAAATAACCCACCCAAACGTTGCCTTTAAGGAAGCCAAGAGTGTTCAAAGCATTATGCGCCAAGTCAAAGAAGGATATGCTCAACATAAGTCCAGCAGCAAAACCCTGACAAGAAATAAGAGTAATTTGTATAGCATATGGCAGAAAGAAAACTAAAGGAGGATGAGAAAGAATGAGTAGGTGCTACAAACGAAGAGAAAGAGATAAGACCTGCAAAATACCGAGCATCTTGAGATCGGGCGTATGGTTTAAAACGACAAAAAGCCCACCTGCTTAGAGTAACAAACAAGCCATCAGGCTTGAAACAAACCCGACATAATCACTGAAACTACACAACATGGACCATTTCAGGATGATTCTCCATGACCAAAAGCCAATAAATTGCTCGTTCAATCCTATGTTAAAGACTAGCAGTTTATGCCAAAGAAAATTCCAAACTTTCATTTTTATCTCCAAACAAAAACTTTCAGTTCCTTCAATCACACCCACAGTAGAAATTACGACACTTGGCTTGCGAACATTTCACCTTCCCTGTAGAATTACCGACTTTAGCAACATATTTGAAGCTACAATTTGTCACCGACGACTGCTAAATCATGGATTAGACCGAAGCATCAAAAAGAACCACAGAAAACACTGGAGAGGCTAATAAAGCAACCCATTATCCGGCCACCCCACGCGAACTAATTAATGAGTACCACCGATTCACATGAAGAAACAACGAATAAACCCCAAATCCAACAAAAATCAAATTAAGGCCCAAAATCTGGTTGATTCGATGAAATTTCTAGAAAAAATAGAGGATTGATTGAAATCTAGGGGTGGTGGTGGTCGCGAAATCGAAGATTCGGAACGCACCAATCGAAGTGCTGAACCCGCCGACAAGGGAGAGCGCGAGGGCGATCATAACCTGGGAAGCCATCGAAAGCGAAACCCTAGAACCAAAAAAATCGTACCCTTCTCCCGTATCGCTATTGACGGAGGAACGGGAGAGGGTGGAAGTGAGGAAGACGACGACGCGGGCGGCGAGCGGCGAGCGGCGTGCGGCGTGGGGAATGACGACGCCGCGATATGAATAGGTGAGGAGCCACGCAGCCTCGCCTACTCGTTCGAACTACCCGCGACATCACCTGTGCGGGACCTAGAAGAGAGCCCTTGGCCGCCTCTTGTTGTAGGTGGGTCAGGTCTGGGTAAGGACCAAGTGCGTAACTGGGTCCAGTCTCGCGTGGTTCATGGCTCTTTTCTCGGAAGTGTTAGATTCCTTTTCTTTTATTTTTCCGCTTTTAATTACAATCAATTATAATTGCCACTTAAGCTGGCTAATTTTCTTAAGGCTCATATGGTCCACATTAATGTCAACAAGATTATTGGCTAATAGAATATAATTCGACTATAAGCTTACGAATATAATCCATATAAACCTGATTCTTAATATTTATTGAGTTCCTCCTACCTATAAGATGCTAATCATCAAAGCAATAAATGTTCTCAACTCAGATGAGTACACATTTCTGTTCATCAAGAAATAGCAAGCAACTACAAGCTAATCTAATGTTAACAATCCTACAAAAACATCAGTTCTTGGGGCCTCAACAAGAGATTTCAGGCACAACTCCATCATTCGTGGTTGTCAGCTGTGCATTGTAGCAGAAGGATGCTGCCTTCACCGAGGCATCTGCAGGTTGGATGTCGACTCCATCTATGGTGATGCCTGTGCAAGCTATAGTTTGGCTGCAGTTGAGGCTGATGGCCATGTCGCTGCTGGACGTGCCGGTCGCCCGAATGTAGTGCACATCGCTGACTTGAACGGCCGATGTCTTCACCACCATGCAAGCAAAACACAAAAAGCAGAAGAGAAGAGGCAAAAGAATGCTTTTAGTAGCTTCAGAAATAGCAGTTTAAGCTGCTGCAGACATCTGCAGATTAACAACTATTCTTGTAATCGAAGTGTTAGAACAAGTTTATGAGCACTTGCCATGTTGGGACAATCGTAGTCACCATTACAGTAGTACTGATCTATTATTATGGGATGATACACAGCAGTGAAGTTGATATTCTCAAAAGTTATGTTTCTTGCATAGCCAGACCCTCCCTGATAAGAACAAAACTTAATGTGATCATAATTTTCTATCTTGTTCCTAGATGGAGAATGGTCAACCTATCAGGAGTTTACCTGCCATGTCTTGATCCTGACACCATTCTGTGTCTCCCAGAAATTGCAACTGGAAACATGAACTTGCTCCACTGCTGCTTGGGTTTCCTCCTCACCTAAGCTTCCAATGCTGTTTTGAGCAGGTTGACATAAGAAGCAAGTCTCCTTTATTGCACATAATAATATGGTTTATATCTTCATGGAATTTGCCACTTCTCTTGGTCTGTGTTTTCTTAATAGCTGAAGTATGGAGAAGTCATACACACAAACCTGATGCCATGGCCAGGGCCACAGGTGATCTGAGTGATATTGACATCAGAGGTGCCATTTCCAATGGATATGCAGTCATCTCCTGCAAGCAGGTGGAGAACAACATGGTAAGCCAGGAAACCTGAAGCCTTCGATACATCTCCACCAGTTCTCTCGAGTTCATGGTCATTGTTACCTGTGCCAATAGTTGAATTTGATACTGTGACATGTTGGCAACTTCTAATGTAGATGCCATCTGTGTTGGGGCTGTCTCCAGGAGCTGTTATGTTGATCCCATGCACTTGCACCCCAACAATCCCATATATACCAATGTGCTTCTGTTGGCTGTTTGTGAAGTCTAATCCACTCAATGTGAAGTTACTGCCACCAGAGATGGACAGTGCCTGAATCCAACATCCCAGCTCAGTGACAAATGAAATAGCTCCATGTCAATCAAATAACGGTGGTACTTACATTAGGTGCAGTGACGCAATTCTGCAACAAAAACAAACAATGATTGGTGATCATTCTTGTAAGGATATTTCATAGAACAAAGTGGGGAAGAAGATGCCTTACAGCACTTCTTTTGCAGTTCCACCAGATTTCACCTTGACCATCTATTTTTCCTGATCCATTAATTGATAACCCATCCACATGCTCAAAGTTGATCCAGTAGTTCCCGTCAGTATCCAAAAGATTGTTAAGGGCCACAATAGTTCCATCAATCTATGTTGCAAAGCATATATAACTCAGTGAAAAAGGTTACAGAAAGATCACTTAGAAGAACTGATACAGAAAGCAGGCTGAGTAAGAAGAACCACAGATTGAGAGCTAAAATGGAAGGCAGCATGACTCAGTAAGAACAACTAGAAAATGGTAGATGACAGAGAAGGCAGCTTCACTCACTAAGAACATGAACATATGGTACCTGGACAAGGATGGGAGAGTTGCAAGGGCCAGAGAAGGACACTTTGCTGAGCAAGAATGTCATCCCTGCAGGGACAAGGAAGGTTGGAGTGCTGAGATCGCCACACACTGCACTCCATGTCTGCTTAAACGCCTGCAAAAGGGAAGTATGTGATCATAATATCAAAACCATAAAATAACATGTAGTTTGGATAAATTAGAAAGTAAATATCAAAACCATAAAATAACATGTGATAGATTTATGTATATAAAATCACATAAATAAATAAAAAATAAAGCAATTAAAGTATGTATAACAATTAATATCTCAAGCATTTATAAGCAAGTATGAGCACCAAAGAGATTAACAGGCAAACAAAAATAATAATATCTCTACTTTACTAACACTTACAACAGTTGTATACTTCACACCTTAATGCATACGGTTAATAGCATTAAGATGTGTTTATGAGGCAATAAATTACAGGCTAAAGTGTAATGCTTCTATTATAACTAGTTAGATATTAAAACTTTGATGGTAAATTATCCTTCTTTGTTGTTTGAGAACAACAAGTATTATTTCTACGATAATGAATGGATCTTAAGTAATTATGGACCTCTTATATTGTTATCTCATCTCACTTTCAAGCATCCAGACACAGAAAGACAGTCATCTATCTCCTTTCTGCATGCATGCGTATGTGCGCATTCTAACGCATACATATGCACAAAGATGCACCGGAGAGAGAGGATCGAAGTAGAGAGAGAGGATCTTATACTTCGAGATCGTCCGTCATGCCATCTCCCATGGCGCCGTGATCAACCACGCTGAAGACAGTAGCAAGTCCTCCAACAGCAGAAGAAACAAGGATCAAGAAGACAAGACAACCCCCGTATTCCTGCATGCATGAGATACAAACGCACACATTAACTACACTGCCAAGTGACACGAAGGCAAAAGAGACGATCCGTTTGCCTACCATTCTTCGGTCTCTCTGACACTTGCATGGTAGCATAAAATCTATAATCATGTTACCTGTAATGCTAAAAAAAATTTATATCAAAATTGAAATCAAATAAATTAGATCTAACAATATTACAAAGAATAAACTTTATCTGATCTACAGATCTACAAGCGCTATATCAATCTGCAAGGTCTGCAAGGAGAACTAAATCCTTCTCTTCTCTTCCTATATTTTCGCAAGATCACCTAGAGGTCTTATATATTTATAGGTGAGAGCAGAGGGTCTAGGATAAGTTATTAGGTCTTCCCATCAAGGTTATCTCCTAAGGAATCCTACTTTAATATCGACTTCTTTTCTATTGGCCAATAACCATAATCAGAATCCAATCATATCTATAATATATCTTATCTAATTAAATAGGATCATATAATCTAACATTCTCCTACTTGGCCCAATAATTGGTAAGATACAAAAGGACTTAAAATAAAAAATAAATAAATAAAAATAATTTAAAAATAATTTGACTCCATTGGATTCTAAAATTTTAGAAAAACTATATACACTTGCGTGAATTTTAGAAAATAGACCAATAAGTCTAATAATAATAATAATAATAATAATACATTAAGTCTGATTAACAATATGAGTCATAGCGGTTGTATGCCATTAGTGTCACACTTCCTTTTATGTACCATAATTCTATTAGCCTTTCTTAATGCAGTCCAAAATGATTCCTATAATTTGTCTTGTCAAGACAATCCTTGTTGAATCTAAGATTTTGATGATGAAACTAATTAATTGTGTTTAGATGTTTAACTGCATTTTGAGTGATACAGGTCTACTCGATCAGGAATAGACAGTTGACGCAGGAGGATTTGACGTTGCGCCGGAGGAGATCACGTTAGGATATTGGATGGCAGAAGGCTTCGGACGTCGGTCATCGGGCCAAGGAGAGCGGAATTGTGCAAAGGATATCGGGGTTGCGGAGGTCAACCGCCGATTGGGCAATAAGCCACAAGGGAGGACGATGCACTGAAGAATCAGACGAAGCGCCAACCAATGACGTGCCGGGCAAAAGAATGTCAAGTCGCGTTGTAATAATTGTCTAGATCGGAGTAGAGTTTTGGCTTGTGTGTGTAGGATTAACTACGATAACGACAAAGACATAAAGCGAAACAAAGTGTCGGAGTCAAGCGCGAAGGATTCATTGCAAGTTCGAGAGTTCGACAGAAGTCCGAAGGTTCGTCGGGAATGTTGCCGGAACTAGCTGAGAATGAGTAGGGAGCTTGCCGAAGGGTTTTTCAGAAGCTCGTCGGAAGGTTCGTTGGAAGTTCACAGAGCTCATCAAGAAAGGTCGGAGCTTGCCGAAGAAGCTCATTGGAACTCGCCAAGATCAAATCGTGAAGTCTAGGAGCTTGCCGGGAGTCCGCAGAATGTTTTCCGAGAGTTTATCGAAAGATCGCCGAAAGCTCGTCGGAAGAAGTCTTAAGTTACGGACTATGTAATAGCTTAGGAAATTTCTTTAAATTCGTAGTTAGCATGTTAATTAGGGTTAGGATTAGGTATTAATCCTCTAACCCAAGTAGGGGCCAATTGGGCCCGAGTTCGGACTGGTTTGGGCCAAGTTTGGAGCCCAACCAATGAGCTGAATTGGTGTAGGCGATGGCATCGCCCGAAACCTGAGAACTGAGCGGTGGCACCGCTGGACTGAGCAGTGGCACCGCAGTGTCATAATAATTATTAAATATTTATACTAAGCAGTTCAATAATAAAATAATAATCATAATAATTATTGAACATTAATCAGCAAAAGAAAACTCATATGATAATCAT